GGGTTCCCAAATAAGATAATTTAGTTCATATATTCTCTCAAGATTTGTTATACCATGGATCAGGGTCCACCTTGCAATATAGACCATGGTCCTAAACGACGTAAAAATTATGTATTTTTAGAATATAAATTGCGTTTCTAAGTCAAAACACATAACATTTGTAGAAGGAAATTTGTAAATACAATACATGGTCATCAAATCGTAATTTGTTAATATTGTGTGACTGCAGTATTTGAAAGGAACTTGTAACTTCAATTGTGCATTCAATTTTTACGATAAATTCTACCATGTCGTACTTATAAATATTGTACTTTTAAAATGATTAAAATATAATTACAAATTTTTAATAAATTGTGTGAACGGTTGAACATACATCTCTCTATTTGTATATATACAGAAATGTTAAGATGTCAATTTGATTTTTCAAAAAAAAAATGTCAATTTGAAATGTATACAATTCAAAAACTATACATACATGATATAACTTTTTTTTTTTTTTTTTTTTTTTTTTTTGTATTAGACCTAATCGGCATGGTGTTGATCAACACATTAAAATTTTCTATAAATACAACAATATAGCATTTGTTGTAAAATGTTGTATTAAACATAAAATGTCAAGAGTATGCATGCATTATATGGAAATAAAATAAAGGAATAAAGAAATGTTTTTTTTTTTTTTGGGGGTCTAACCACATGTTTCCTTATTCAATTGCATAGAAAAGGTGACAGAACACTCCCTCCCTGGCTCCCTTGTAGGTTTTAAGGACATAGCTTTAATCTCAATGGTCGAACCTGAAATATTTGGTTAAGTTGGAAGAGAACTATATCATCCACATCCACACCCCATTGGCTAAAGAAATGTTTATTCAACTTTTAAAAAGTAAATTCGGATAACATTAATTAGCAAGTTGCAGACCTTTTCTTACTAGTTACTAGCCGTCAAACAATTTTTAAAATATGAATTAATAATATATTATTAAGGTAGATTTTGGGTCCAAATGCGTGATAATATTGATTTTATTATTATTATTATTATTGGCAAGTCTAAAACTTAATACAAAGTCAACTTTTAATTTATATTGATCATCATTTATATGCTAATTAATGCTGCTGAGGGTTGACTTTCTGAAAATGTCAAACTTAAGCTCGCTACTGATTGCTACTTAATACTTATGGTACTCTCATTATGAAGTCAACTGCATGCCAAATATATATATATACATACATAGAGGTCGGCAATAACATTAATAAAAGGGTGGAAAATAAGGATAGAGTTATTCTTATTTTATTATAATTGTTGTAGCAAATAAATTTTGGGTTTCTTAAAAACTTGTATAAAAAATTTCTTTTTATATAATATTTGATGAATTTTAATGGATTAAAATAACGTGAGAAAATAGAAAAAATGATAATATTATATTCACAGACTTATGATCCATAGAATATAGAAATTACTTCTTCTTATTCAAAATTTATTCAAACGCGCCATGTGCGATATTTGATATGTGTGTGAATTAGTTGATTTTGCCATAACATATAGAAATTCTAGAAACTTCTTCAAACCATAGATAGTACAGTGTGAAGTGTGAAGTATATGTATTCAAAGTTGTCCGACAGGCTAATTAATGATTAATGTTATGAATAGGTTAAATAAGGAGTAGGGTAAGGATGTTGATGGACATTACATATATATGCAAATATGCAATGAATCAAGAATATATATAGGACAAGCCTTTGAATTCCCTAACCACTCAGAACACATTATCTGAATCCCTACTTCTAATTCATTCGACCAAACATTAGATTCTTGATATTTTATAATACTTCAATTCGATCAAATATAATTTTAAGTTTCTAACATAATTTGTACTGTACACATCTGTGTATAAGAGTCCATTGAGTTCAGGTTTTTAACTGTTGAGTTGTCACTAATGAAATCAAGAATTTTGGGTGATTGATCGGCTAATTGAGCATGTTCGATCAGGGAGGGATTTAATTAGTTTGAGTTATGAGAAACTTGTATGTGTATAGTATCATCAAGTTGTAGTCAACCCAGTTTGAATAAAAACAAGTGGCACCTGGTTTATGACCATAATGGGAAACCAGAATGCCAATGTCAAATCAGTATTCAACTAGCTCATTAGGGTATTATGTATTTATGTACAATTATTATCAATTTATAACATGAAAATGTGAAATACATTCATTGTTTATACTTCTTTCATCTTATTTTATGTGTATGATTTGCAAGTCTATTTAACTTGCACCATATAATTAAGGCTTTATAATATAGCATATATTATATGGGAAAATTCAATATTATTTTATAATTTTTAGCAAGTAACATACACTGGGCATTCAAAAAAACATACACTAAGGGTGTGTTTGAAAACTTGAAAATCATTTTTCAGTTTTCCAGTGTCGTTTGGTTAGAGGGGAAAATGGAAGTCAATGAAAAATAGTTAGGGGTGTGGTCAATGAATAATAGATGAGATTTTCTTGAAAATGACTCTCCCCCCCTCCCCCCCCCCCCCCCCTTCCCTTTTGGAGGGATAGTCATTTTCCGTTTGCAACAGTGGAGCAACCAATCACCCGTCGTCGCCGTCGCCGTCACCACCACCACCATCATTGTATATTTTAAATATTTAAAATTATAAATAATTACACTCATTTTTCAGAAAATGAACTAAACACACCAACATAGTTTTCTAGAATGCAACCAAACACTAAAAAATAAAATATTTTCTGAAAAATGACTCAATAAAACATTTTTCAGAAATCATTTCCTGCTTTTCGAACGCACCCTAAAAATCCATACTTGATATAATTTTCATCAAGTCTTTCCACCACCAAAATAATACAACTATAGTGATCCTAGATTGTCTTGTTTAATTTATTTGTTTCTTGGCCATTGTTGATTGTACTACTGGTTTAGCCTAACCCATTTGAGTGGGCGCTTTGGGTCGGTACTCCACCAATTTTTTTTTTATTATTTTTTATTTTTTAGTTCAACTATAAATTTAAACTTGTGGCTCGTTTGGTTCGTTGAAAAATATTTGAAGGGAAATGGAATTGAAATCCTATGGAAAATAGATTCCAAGAAAATAGATTCCATTGTTTGGTTGGTGGAAAAGAAATTACTGGGAATATGAATTCCATTGTTTGGTTGAGTTTGGAATGGTAAAGAATAATGTGTATAATGACAAATATAACCCTACACAACAATAATATAATAATAATAATAATAAGAGTAATTAATAAAGAATGGTGAGGGTAAAATTGTCATATTAGTTTTCCATGGAAAACAAAATACCTAACAAGAGCTAGGAATTTGTTTTCCTCACTCTCAAGGAAAACTTTTTCCAATGGAAAATGTTTTCCATCCAACCAAACAACATAAAACATCATTTTCCTTCACTTTTAGGAAAACATTTTCCATGGAAAATGTTTTCCATCCAACCAAACACCCCCTTATTTTGGTTAGATAATTTAATTGTTATTTGTGTAATGGTTCGAACGTGTATTTGATATTTTTACTTTTTTTCTTTTTTTTTTCTTTGTATATCTTATGAGATTGAAAGAATATGATTACAAGTTTGACTTTCAGCAAGAGTGATTTATTGGTTTTCTTGACTTGAGTCGTCATTAATAGGCACTCATTAACAGACTAGACTGATTTACTTCTTTGTAATTCTTCGCCGGCTAGGACTTGTAATGCGGGATTTACCCAATGTATACTATCAGTAATGACTACAGATTGAATAATAATGAGCATGTTTTCCTTGTAATCAAATAGTAAAATTATCTTTTGACGTAAATTAAAGTCTTATGATTGATTAATAATACAATTAAATAGGGAATAATAATTTAATTAATTTGACAACCGATTAAGCACAATGCATCAAGTCAGAAATATATCATTTTCCAAGCCTAAATTAAAGCTCCTTGCCCCTTCATGTCATGAATGATGAGATTCAAGTTGGTACGGACTAGGGAGTAAGTTTTAATTGGGTAACCTTAAATAAAATTGATGGCCTTTTTGACTTCAATTCATTTATAAAATATAATTATAGAATAGGCTTTATGACTTTATTTTTATTTAGCATAATTAAATACCCAACTTGTTTTATCTCTAAAAAAAATACCCAACTTGTTTCCTAGAGAAGTTAGTTTTTTTTTTTTTTTTTTTTTTAAATTACGCAAACATTCTCAATTCATTTATTACCTATAAAACTATAAATATTTGAGAGTTTCTACATGTTTCCTTCCTAATCATATTCTACACCCTTCCTCTTACTTCATGATATGACAAACAATGATAAGTTATTTTCATTGTATGATTCTAAAAAAAATATTTATATTAAAGTTTTGTGTAAGGAAGTAGAATTTAAGAGTAAATATAGTTTTTTAAAAAATCTTAAAGCATCCGGTTTTTGCTCAATTTTTTAGGAAGAAAATTTTTACACTAACCGGGAAAGCTGATTTTTAGATAGTTTTTACTCATACAAGTTGTGATTTTTAGAGGGACCCGTCAAGAGAGAGAAAATAAACAAAAACATCAACTATGTGCGTGTTGAGCGCAACAATCGCGCCCAGTAGGCGCGTAATATAAATTTGTTTTATTTAATTATTTTTCCTTTTTATCCTTTTTTTTCTCTCCATCTTCCTTTTCTATTTAGCACCTCAAAAACCTTATAAATAAAAGTTATTAAAAAAAAAAAAAAGAAAAACTATATCTATTGAGTATGCTCTTATGTCGATTGTGGACAATCTACAGCAAGGGACCACAGGTGAATAAAAGTTTATATAAAAAGCAGTCTTGGTTGACTGAACCTAGTCAACGGCTTTGTCTCTGTTAACCTGTGATATGCATGGAGTAGAATGGAACACATAAACAGTAGAGATTGAATAGAAGCAGTCCATAATGCAGCACAAATAACTCCCATCCCATTCTTTTAATTTCCTCCTATAAATACCACTCATTCTCTCATCATCATCATATCCTTCCATCTTTCTTCAATATCTTATCTTAGCTCTAATAATTATCAACATTTCTTACATATATATATATATATTTATGGCACCTGCAATGAGCTTCGAAACAACCCCGGAAGAAGACGACAGTAGTATATACCTTAAAGGAGTGAAGAATTTGTGCGATAGCCGGATCACTAAAGTCCCCAAAAAATACATATTTCCGGTCTCCGACCGACCAAATTTTAGTATAGATGAACCACACCCAAACCCAAACCCAAACCTCAACTTGCCACTCGTCGATTTCGCTCAACTCCACGGCCCCAACAGATCCCATGTCGTCAACTCCATAGCCAAAGCTTGCAAGGAATATGGATTTTTTCAGGTACTATACAATATAAATATACATAGAGCCTTTGTAGCACAGTACATTTCTGTTGTCCGAGATCTTAATTATTGAGCTGTGCAATCCAACTATCAGTTTAGATTTTTAGTTGAGATAGAACATACTTCAATTTGGTAAGAGCCAGACCAAAGGTCATTGGTTCGAATCTGATTAGGCTTTTAGTTGAGATAGAGCACATGCTTCAATTTTAATATATAGTCATTTGTTGTTGCAGGTGATAAATCATGGGATAGAGAGCGACACAATCCGCCGCATGATCGACGCCGGGAGAAGGTTCTTCGACCTTCCGTTTGAGAAAAGAGCACAGTACATGTCCGGCGACATGCACTCGCCGGTCCGGTGCGGTACGAGCTTTAACCAGAACAAAGATGGAGTCTTCTGCTGGAGAGATTTCCTGAAGCTCAACTGTAGTCCCCTGTCACAGTTCTTCCCATTCTGGCCAACTTCCCCTCCCGGTCTCCGGTACATTAATCATATATATAAACGTTAATTATAATCACACGTTAAAACAGTACAGTTATTCAAGGTTTGTATTTAAATAGGGAGGCGGCGGCGAGTTACTCAAAGCAGACAAGACTAGTGTACTTGATGTTGATTGAGGCGATTCTGGAGAGCCTGGGAATAGTGAAGGAGGGTGGCGGCGAAATTAGGTTTGAAGAGTTTGAAGAAGGAAGCCAACTTTTAGTGGTGAATTGCTACCCTGCATGCCCGGAGCCGGAGCTGACGCTGGGAATGCCGCCGCACTCCGACTACGGTCTGCTCACGCTTCTGTTGCAGGATGAAGTGAAGGGTCTGGAGATCCATCACGCCGGCAGATGGGAGACCGTTCACCCAATCCCCAACTCCTTCGTCGTCAATGTCGGAGACCATCTCGAGGTTAGTTTAATTTGCTACCTAAATTTGACCAACTTGACTAGAGTTATCACACTATATATAGTTATATACCATGATTGTAATAGGGGCTAGACACTAGTCTAGCTGTAGAGTAGCGCCTAGTGCCTAATGCTTAGATGGTCCAGGTCGTCGCATAGACAACTAATTAATTTTTTAAAAAAAAAACACTGCAAGTTTGTAAGTGCATATATCATATTATATATATATATATATATATATATATATATATATATATATATATATAAATAGAAAATAATTAGCAAGGCAGAGTCAGTCGGGTTAACTCTACTAACTCGACAGAAATGAACGAGTTAACTCAGCCAAATTCGATCTAATCGGCTGAGTTAGGCGCTAGGCAGGCGCCTAGACAGTCGAATATCTAGGCGGGAGTCTATAGAGAAAATCGCCACGACCTAAGGGTGCATAGGCGGGATCTTTGCAGATATATACGTACTACATTATATATGCTAATTTTGCCATTGTCCTCTGATTGAATTGACAGATATTTAGCAATGGAAGATACAAGAGTGTGGTGCATAGGGTGGTTGCCAACTCTTCAAGATCAAGAATCTCAGTGGCTTCACTGCACAGCTTGCCCTTTAGCACACTCATTCGTCCTTCCCCAACCCTTGTCGACCAGGCACACCCCAGGCTTTACAGGGACACCGACTTCGCCACTTTCCTTCAATATATTTCGTCTCCTCAACATAACACCAACTTCTTAGATTCCATCAAGTTATTTTAGACAGGACGTACAAATCATATATTCACGTATAGTACGTATAATATTTGTTGGTGGGAATCAATGAATCAAATCATTACTATTGGCTTTATTACAAGATAATTACTTTCTTTAATGGGAGAGACAGAAATCTTATTGTCCTAATTTCTATGATGTAAGATTATTGTATTGTCTAAAAAACATGTTTCCTGAACTAAACACTAACAACATCCATATCACCTTATGCGACAGAGAGTGGCCCAAGGAGAGATTCTCGACAGATGGAAACTGATTCCCTTATATAGTGGTAATTACTTTATCACCTGGACTTTGTCATCACCCACATAAGATACATAACACCCTTCAAAAGTCAAAATTTGCTGAAATCTCCTCGTGACTTTACGACCCCCCATTTTTGTCCTTTTCTCATGTCCGCATTCATAACCCGATAAAATAAACTATTTGTGAGAAGACAACTTTTCTTACATAAGTTTCAAGTTCAACTCCTTTTAACCGTTGTTTATTGATTTTTTTTTTCTTTGAATTGATTAGTTACGAAAAATTTAAATTAATTACTTCCTTTTAAAGTTTTAATTATTTATCGGTTAGGATTATAAAACGGATTTTACTATTTTACTCTAGTTAACTGTAGGCGAAAATAGAAATAGGACAAAATACAAGGGTGCCACCACGAAAAAACGACAAATGCGGTTAAGTAAAAAGACGCCAAAAACGCCAGGTCAGCAACTACTCCAGTCACTCCAACTACTCGCACCACCGTCACCTGCCGTTGCGATATTCACTGCAGTCCTCTTCACTGCCTAATCTCTATCTCTAATAAGTCTCTAACCTTCGCCTCGCAAACTCAGAATACGCATTCTCTGTGTAATCCTGTCTGTCTGTCTGTGCTTGTATGTATGTATGTATGTATATACGTATACGTCCGTATTGAGCAATTTAGAGAGAGAGAAATGTTCAAACTGCGCAGACACAAGTCGTCCACCTCTGACAATTCCGGCGATAAATTCGGTTTCATCTTCTCCAACATTCAAGCTCTTCAGGTAACATATTATAGCGTGTGTGTGTGTATGTATGAGTACAGAGTACCTAGCTAGACAGGTTAGTTGCACAGAGATATTACACATTCCGCTCATGATCCTGCTATTGAAGCTCTTTAGACTGTTTTTACTGATTTATTTGCAATTAGTGGTTTTTAACATGTATAAATTGTTTGTTTATACCGTTTTTAGTTGCATTTTTTTTTTTTTTTTTTTTTTGTGATTTTGCATTAAATTAGCTTGCATTTAAGTTAGCTTGTTCTGATAAAAGTGTTCGTATGCACGTGTGTTGTTGAGATCATTAATGCTCTGTAACATGATATGGCCGTTAATATACTTCAATGGTAGATAGGCTGGCCCTTATCTTCTCGATATTTTGTTCTGTTCTTGTAGTGGCTGCTAATAATGATCACTGCACTTCTTTTAGTGTACTGTTGAAATTCGTGCTCATAATTTTGCAAAGCATTAAGGTACTGCTCCATGATGGGAAACTGTAAGCATTTTAATTTTCAGGTGTTAGTCTGAATCTTGATGGATAGTTTCTTCTAAAATTTGAAATTGCTGAAAGCAGCAAATACATGTATAAGAATGCTTCTTCTTCTTCTTCTTCTTTTAAATTGTTTGCCTGTAGATATTTCCCAATTGTCCTAAATAAAGTGCACAAAATAGATCCTTATTCAGTCTTATGCACCTAGGCTGTGATAAAGTTACTGAGAGGTTAACAATGATCACCTAATGTCTCCTTTGAAAAAAGAACAGTGAATTCTAGGAAAACAAGTTATCTCAGCCATTAAAAACTATGGTTCCTATTTTCCATGAAAAAGGGAGGGGAATAAGTATTGTATGATTGAGATATATGTCTATCTTGCCTAAAATTGTGTGATCAAAGAGTCAGATTATTGTTGCTCCAAAAGGCTGTTTGAACTGTTGTGAGTGGCCTTTCCATTGGATTGAAGTCTTCTGAAGCAATTAAGCAATCCAACATTTGATGTAGCAACATAGCATGAATTTTGCTGAGGATCAACCTCAACCTATGCCTTGTTCATGTGAAGGATTTCTTAATTTGGATTAACCATTGTTGGGTGAAGGATCAACCTCAACCTATGCCTTGTTCATGTGAAGGATTTCTTAATTTGGATTAACCATTGTTGGGTGATGAAGACTTTCTTATTTACATAAACTGCAAAGTTGAGGTAACTCAAGCAAACTATAGTTTAATGGTATCTTCATACAAGTGAAAAGAGTAAAATATAGTGAAGGTTCGGATTCCTTTTCCATACTGCCAATATTTCTATAAGATCACCATCACAAATATAGAATCATGGAACATGACCTGTTCATTAAATGTCTACCAAAAAATCAGTTACATGTAATTCTGTAATATTTATCCCTCGGTAGTTAATTTTTGAAGTCTGTTGTCACTATGTTTTGGACTGCTTCGATTTTGCTCTTGCAGGTACCTAAAGGATGGGACAAGCTTTCTGTGTCTCTTATCTCTGTTGAAGCAGGGAAAACTATCAGTAAATTAGGGAAAGCATCAGTAAACAATGGAACTTGCCAATGGACAGAATCTTTATGGAGTCCAGAAAATTATGCCTCAAATGGCCTTGATCATTTCAAGTTTCTTGTTTCCATGGTCTGGATCAACTTTAAACTGGAAAAAAAAAAAAAAAAAAAAAAAAAAAAATTCCATGGTTTACTTGATTCTTGTTTGTCATTATCGCTAACAGTTTTTTTTTTTTTTTAAATTAGGGATCCTCTAGAGCTGGTATCCTTGGAGAGGCTACAGTTAATGTTGGGCACTACAGGAATTCAGAAGCTTCTATTCCTGTTTCATTACCCTTGCAAAAATGCAATAAAGGGACAGTTTTAAATGTGAGCTCTTCTACTGCTTCTTGAAGTTTGATAGCAACTAAGTCTAATTCCACTGTACTAGTATGTATTCTGATTTCCGAATAGTACTTTTCTCAGCCAATTTTGAGTCCCTTGAATCTCGTTTATGGTTTTATACAATCATCAAATGTATTTTTTTCTAAATGCATTTGATCTTTGGCGGTAGAAGAAGGGGAGGGGGATTGCGATAATACTATGATCTTCCCAGAGTTTGACTTGCTAAACAAAATATCACCTCCGTATTTATTTTATTTTTCCTGCAGTTTGAAATCAAGTGTCTAACACCAAGAACAAGTTTCAGGTTCCATGCTAAATTCGAAGTTGAATTTGTTCCATTCGCCAACTTCTTTCTTCCTCTCATGCTTTTTGTGAAAAAGTTGAGTCTTAATTTTCAGGGGTGATGAGGTGAACAGCACTGCTGCATATAATGAAGAGGAGAATTCTGTATGCAATGGTATTGACAACAAGTCAGAGGTATCCCGATTATAAACTTTACAAAGAGCATTAGATCAATCTAGATTGAGTGATTGACTCATAGATACAGTCCCACATAAAAACGAATTTAAAAGAAAGTATCATTGCCTCGTACAAATACAGCATTTAGTGCTCGCCATATACATTTTCCCAAAAATTTTGTTTATTTGCATTGCTGTCTAAGCTCTTTTATTCCAACAGGAAAGGAACAATTCCCTGCCTTCGATGGAGGATTCATTGGGCCGGGATAGTCTTTCCTCTGCAAGTAACTCAAGTGCAGTAGTTAACAACGCCATTAGAAGACTAGAATCAACTGAATCCGGAGGCAGTGCACCCTGGAGTTCTTACTCTTATGGTTCTCCGAAATCAAATAATTCTCCAAATAAATTGTCTATATCATGTCAGGAAAAGCATCCTGAATACACAGAAGAGGAAATAGGACAGTGTTCACTGCATATTACCAGAACATCAATACCAGATGCAAACATTGAAGAACTTAAGGCTGAAGCTAGGATGTGGGAACTAAATGCCCGAAGATTAATGGTCAAGATGGAAACTTTAAGAAAGGAGTTCGCCAATCAATCACAGCGCATAGCAGATATGGAGATGGAACTTTCCACAGCACACACAGAGTCCAATAGATTGATGCATGATATCAAGCGTCTGGAGGTCCTCTTAGAAGAATCAAATGCAAAACAAATAGCTGCTGAGAATTTAAATCTCCAGGCCAAAAATACGGAAAATATCCTAAAGGAAATGGAAGATGAGCTAAAGTTTCAGACAGAATCAAATAGCAATTTGTCTTTGCAGTTGAGGAAATCTCAAGAATCCAATGCTGAGCTGGTTTCTGTCCTTCAGGAGATGGAAGAAACTGTTCAAAAGAAGAAAATAGAGATTGAGAACCTTTTAGCATTAAACTCAAGATCTGATGTCATGGGAGTTATAAATAGTTGTGGAGATGAGGACAATGTGCAACCAAAAAGTACTGAACAAGTTTCTGTTGAGAAACAGTGCCAGGAGTTCAAGCTTCAGCATTTGCAGGAATCACATATGTCTTTGGAAAACAGTATTATTTGCCAGGAAAAAGCCCAAGAGGAGAAAATTCATGAGATAGAACTTGAGCAAGATCTTAGGGCTCAGGGTCTTTTGGAGTTGGAGTCCAAATCTTCCAGTGCTGAGGAATCGGAAGCAAATAAGCCCAATATGCATTTAATTGAAGAAATTGAGAGTCTGAAGAAAACAATTCAGGAGCTTGAGAGAGAATGCAATGAGCTTACAGAAGAGAACCTGGAACTTCTGTTCAAACTTAAAGAATCAAGAAAAGATCCTTCTGAAAACCATGATATGCTAAGTTCTAAATCTCTTGAGGGTCCTCAAAGTGAATCACTTATTGGTTCAGAATTTGAAACAAGCAAACATGGGTTTCAATTCTTGCTTCTACAGAAGGAAGTGATTGAAGAAGAAGTCCCAAACAGCTTACAAATTCATAGCAGTGGCCAAAGAGAAAATCACACTTGTCTGGAGCCCCCCAATTTTCAAGCTTTCAAATGCAAAGGTTGTGATCTTAATGTAAAACTCCATGCATGTTGTGTGAAAGCAACAGATAAACAAGCAACTGAGATCACCGTGAATCCATCAGAAGGTCAAAGAGATGAAATTGACAGTAGGAACTTCACTCTTAAAGATGTTAGTGACAGGAATCGGTATTCTGAACCAGAGACAACATTTGATATTGATAGCTTAGTGCCTGCATTATGTGAGCAGCTAGGAATTTTCTTTCACAATGTGAATGGGGTAGAACATATGCTATTTTCTCCGGTAAACATCGAGTTAAGAAATGCTACTTTTTATAAAGATATTTCAAGGGGTACAGATCCTATGGCTCAAAAAGAGCACGCTAAAGCTGTGTTCGACAAATTGGTCCAGTTGCTGAGGGCTAGATTGGTTTCATGTACTAATGATAAGTACAGTGAGGATGGTGCCAGAACAGAAGTCAACAACACATACGAGATCAAAGACAAGTCAGACTATGGATGTTCAACAGAGAAAGATCCTTGTTCTAGCCATCAAGGATATAAGAACTTCAAAGAACTGGAAGTAAAGGGCGAAAGTATTGGTAACAATGTGTTAACTAAAAACTCCAAGATGCTGGAGGTGAAAACTGGCTGTTTGGAAGAGGATGTTGGCCTAAAAGCCCTAAACCATTGCCGGAGGGACTTGGCAAATAAAATTTATGATCACCAAATGGTAGCATGGATGGTGGAGAAAGATATGGAAAAAGTGCAAACTGAAAAAGATGATATCACCTCAGACAGTATGAGAGAAGAAATGATGGTAGTGACAGGCAGAATATTCGGAAATATTTCTGAAAAGATTCAAGAAATGAAAATTTTAGAGCTAGAGAATGAGAAACAAGAACTAGAGTCCTGTGTTTTTGAATTAGAAAAGGAAAATATGCAGTTGTCAGAACGAGTATCAGGGTTGGAAGCTCAACTGAGGCATTTCACAGATGCAATGGAATTAAGTCGCATGGAGCTGCAGCATAAAGGGACTCAACTCTGCAACCTCCAGGACGAGATCAGAGAATTAGAGAAGGATAAGGAGTCACAGGAGCTCGAATTGAAACAGAGACTGATGGAAATGCAAAAACGATGGTTGGACTCTCAGGAGGAGAGTGAGTATCTGAAGAAGGCAAACCCAAAGCTACAAGCTACTGCAGAGAGTCTGATTGAAGAATGTGATTCACTTCAAATTCTAAATGGAGAACTAAGGCGGCAAAGATTAGAACTTAAGGTACAATGCAATCTCCTGGAAGCAGAATTGAGGAAATACCAACATTCTCTCTCCAGTTGTTTGAGCAGGATAGAATCTTTAGAAGCAAAACTTTCTTCAATTTTGGAAGAGACTTCTTCAAAAGAGAAAATCATGAATTCAGAACTTGAAATGATCCTTCTCCAGACCAAAGAATTCAAGGAAAGACTTGTAATTAAAGAGAGCTTGCAGAGTCAACTGTGTCAGCATAAACTTAGTGAACTTGAGTATCCACAACAAAAGTCTCCGCACCTTGTCAATCAAATGTTTGATCCTTCTGATAGAGAAGACGGAAAAGCTTCTGAAGGTTCTCATGAGATGCATTCCTTGTTTGCAGAAAATAAAATGTTGAAACTAACTCTTCAAGAAATTCAACAAAATCTGGAGATCACTGAGGTAAAACTCGTTACCACACAAATGGAATATGAAAGAAAGGTTTATGAGCTCATGGGTGAACTTAATGCTCATAAAACAAACCAGGTAGTTTTGGAAGCTAAGTCTGATAAACTACAAAGGTGGTTAGAAAATGTGATATCCAGTGAATCAAATCTTAAATGCATTATAGACAATCTTGAGTCAAAACTGCTATTGTCTGAAAGCGAGAGGCTACAACTGGCTGATGCAAATTCCAGTCTAAAGATTGAATTACTGAAAATAGCTTTCCTTCGGGATGAAGTCCTGGCACTTAAAGGTTCACTCAATGATATGAAGTTTAAAAATGAGAGATTAGAAGCTTCTTTGCAACTCATTTGTGGAGAAAATGAAGAGCTAAAGGCTGACAAGACTTCGTTGATTCAAGAACTTACTGGCATGCAGAATTCAGTCACTGAACTGGAAGAATGCAGACTCAGAAAGGTTGTGCTAGAGGAAAAAGTTTTGAGACTGGAAGGGGATCTAACAGCAAGAGAGGTAATGTGCGCAAAGGATGCTGAGCTGAAGAATGATTTAACTCAAAGCAAAAGGGTAAACAGTCAACTCCGCTGGAAAATAAAACAGCTTGAGTTGGAGAGATATTACCTCTCAAAAGAACTGCAATCCGTCCAAGAAGAATTGAATAGAAAAGAAAACTCTGTGCCTTCACCTTCGCATTCTGTGGCCAAAGATAAAACCACTTCTTGCAAAGAACAGAAACTCTCAAAGGTCCTTACCATTTACCAACTCTATTCTATTATCTCCATGACTTTAATAGATCAATGAAGCACAAATTAATTTCATAATCTCTCATCTAACATCAGGCCAGATCCAGCCAATGCAACAACTGCGAAACCATTCAAATTGTAACCATTGATGATTGCTCATCAAGATGCCAGGTTGGGGACGACAAAACCCAGTTTAAGAGGTAAGGTCGCAAGACTGTCACGATTATTCACCTGCACTTCAGTATAGCCCTATCAATATTTGATTTCTCTTATTATTTGTTAGAGGATTCAAGATGTTAGACTAATAGTAAAGTTGCAAGTTTCGTTTACATGCCTGAAAAACTGACACGCCAAAACAAACATCACTTTCAGTTTGCAACCGGAGGGACAGTCCACAAGGTCCGGCAATGAAAATGAACAGAAAATATCACAACTCGAAGCCGAATTGAAAGAAATCAGTGAACGCTATCTTCACATGAGCCTAAAATATGCAGAGGTTGAGAACCAGAAAGGGAAGCTTGTAATGACTCTGAAAGCATTACAAGATCAGAGAACAGGAACAGTAAGATGAATTTCACAATTTCTGGAAGAAACGTAAGGAAATAAGTCATTTGGTTTGCAAAAATAAAAGCATTCATTCATTGATAAGACGTTCGTTACAACTGGCATAACAGACCATCCGAGCTAACCGAAGCCACTTTACATCTAACAATAACAGGTAAATCAGTAAATGAAACCCTAGAATAGCAAAAATAAAAGACGCAAATTCTCTAACATTCTACGAGCTAGTGAATTTGGTGACAGCCTTAGTGCCTTCGGAGACGGCGTGCTTAGCCAATTCTCCGGGAAGAACCAAGCGGACGGCGGTCTGGATCTCGCGGGAGGTGATGGTGGGCTTCTTGTTGTAGCGGGCAAGACGAGAAGACTCCTGGGCAAGCTTCTCGAAAATATCGTTGATGAAACTGTTCATGATTCCCATGGCCTTGCTAGAGATTCCGATGTCGGGATGCACCTGCTTCAGCACCTTGAAGATGTAAATCTTGTAGGTCTCCGTCGACTTCTTCACCCTCTTCTTCTTCTTCTCTCCCGCCGCGGCTCCGCCGTCCTTCGGGAGCTTCTTCCCCGCCTTCGGCTTCTTCTCCGCCGGAGCCTTCTCGGCGGCTGGGGCCTTCTCTGCCGCCGGCTTCTTCTCAGCTGGTTTCTTCTCTGCCTTTGGGGCCATTGAATCTAGAGAAACAGAAACGGTGTTTACAACAAAGAGATAAAAGTTAGGTTGAGTGAGATGAGAGGCAAACAGCGTGGTGAATTTGATGAAGAGGGGGGCTTTATTATATAGGGTTTGGAGATACTCTATGATTGGGTACTTTCGTTTGACGCGGATCATGGATTCCAACCGTTGATGCTTTGATCAGTTAACGATGAAGATTAAAAGAGAATCGAAATCCGGAGTACTGTTTTTTAGGGGCAGATTTGAAATTTAAAACACTCGCGTTAATTTTTTACTTTTGGCGCTAATTTAAATTTCGCGGGTTGGAAGGGCAAACTTTTCGGGCTAACAAATCCGTACAAGAAAGGTTGATTTAAACGATGAGCCCAACAATGAGAAATTGAGAAGTAGCTGCAGGCCTGTATGGGTACTAAGGTTGTGATGGTTTTTTGTGGTATAGCATTTTGGTTCAGGTTATCTGATCCGATAGAATTGAAAATTAACTTAATGATTTAATTTAATTTATTATTGAAAATTTATCACTTCTTCTATAATTTATAATCAAATATTTTTGGTTTTGTTCCCTTAAAAATTGAACCGACCCGAAAAATTAATTATATATAAAACTAAATATTGTATATTTAAAAATCTATCCAAATATATATACTAAATCTTAATTTTCACCATTTTTCTATGTTCACAATTTTATTTACTACTCACTGAGTCTGCAACATTGATATTTAGGGGTGTTCATTTTCCATGAAAAATGTTTTCCTAAAAGTGAAGGAAAATTATGTTTTATGTTGTTTGGTTGGATGGAAAACATTTTTCATTGAAAAAAAAAATTTCTTAATAATGAGGAAAAAAAATTTCTAGCTCATGTTAGATATTTTGTTTTCCATGAAAAATTAATATGACAATTTTACACTCACCATTCTTTATTAATTACTCTTATTATTATTATTATATTATTATTGTTGTGTAGGGTTATATTTGTCATTATACACATTATTCCTTACCATTCCAAACTCAACCAAACAATGGAATTCATATTCCCAGTAATTTCTTTTCCATCAACCAAACAATGGAATCTATTTTCTTGAAATTTATTTTCTATGGAATTTCAATTTCATTTCCCTTCAAATATTTTTCAGCGAACCAAACGAGCCGTTAATGTCAGACATAGTAAAGATTTTAGTTCAATTTATAATTATTTCATATTGAGAAATTTAAAATATGCATTGTTGCCTTGTTTAAATTTTGAATTTTAAATTATTAGTAAAAATAAATAAATAATTATGTGTACAAAATAACATTGAATGCTTATATTTATGAACCAAATACAAGTTGAAATCGAATTCTTTCAAGCTGAGCCGAACTGAAATTTGAAGGCGAATGATTTCAATTAACCACCCCAAAAGAAAAAAAAAAAAAAAAAAAAACGAACTGAAAATCTCCCGCCCCTAATTTTTTGTTCAAACCCACACAACTTAGATGGTGGTGTTAAGTGTGTTAAAGGAAATGAAATGAACATACGAGATACTAGATACCAAACTATACGGTAGGCCACTTGTAATACTTGCTATGGTATTAAACGTATTGGTTTAAACTAAATATTTCAAAAAAGTTATATTAATGAGGCTCGGATTGGTAGCAACTCCACTTGGAGTAGTGTGTCGAAAGTAGAGATGACAATTCTACTCGCATTCAATAGATTTTTCGCATTCTCGTATCTACGAGTTTTAAAATACTCACACAATTTGAGTAATGAAAAATTTTGTACACCTACACGGGTATGAGGCGAGTGCAGGGGAAGGTGTCCCTGACCCACACCCACACCCACACTTATATATACACATACATACACTTGTATTATTAGTATTTATTTATTATATAAGTTTATGTATTTTTTATATATATATTTTTTGAAAAGGTGTATTTTTTATATTTAAAAATCCATAATGAATTTGATTTTTTTATGGGCTAGTGTCTTACGGATTCAATTGAATTATTATCTCATTGTCTTAATTTTTTGTTTATAAAAATTGAAAATGAACAGCACAAATAGCCTAATGAGTAAACACTTTAATACAATTTATACTCAAACATAATTTTAATCCCAATTAAGACTAACATCATTTGTTCTTAATAAAATAATAATACTTTGTATTACATTTAATATTGACCTGACTCAACTCGTTTCACAGAGAAAGATCCGTCGTAAGACAATATCACACAAATATAACTACTAAAATAGAGTAATTTACCATTGACCTTTTAAAGTTTGATTTACTTCATTAATCAATTCCCAAATCTTAGATGTCTTCACAATGAAACAAAACAAAACAAAAATCAAAGGGGTAAGACCATGATCTCAAAGTATTAAATGAAATTATGCTACCTCATGAAGTATAGTTGAGGGAGTACAAAATTTCACTACTGGTAAAAATTATAAGCCCCTGTCCAGTATCTATCACAGCAACATCTAGTGTATGTCTCACCATCCGGGTAAACCAACATTACTGCCCCATTATAATACCGCTTATATAGGATTGAGTAAAAAAAAAAAAATCAAAAGTGATTAACCATCCAAATTCCTATCTTATTATAGGAGCAAATAAATTCCAATTAAGCTGACGCATGCGTTTGTCCATTGTGTTTGTGGAGTGCTACATTAATGGTGGAAACTCAGTTATAACTATGGCAGCATACTTTGAGATAGAAAGCAAATAAATTGATATTTAACACACAACATATGCAATAATAATTGGATATATATTAATTAAGTCGGAATATGGGACATTAACGGTGAATCAGTGAATGAAACACTAGATACCAAAAAAAAAAAAAAAAATTAAAAAAACACAAATTCTGTAACATTCTAGGAGCTAGTGAACTTGGTTACCGCCTTGGTGCCTTCAGAGACGGCGTGTTTAGCCAATTCTCCGGGAAGAACCAAGCGCACGGCGGTCTGGATCTCGCGGGAGGTGATGGTGGGCTTCTTGTTGTAGCGGGCAAGACGAGAAGCCTCCTGAGCAAGCTTCTCGAAAATATCGTTGATGAAACTGTTCATGATCCCCATGGCCTTGCTAGAGATTCCAATGTCCGGATGCACTTGCTTCAGCACCTTGAAGATGTAGATCTTATAGGTCTCCGTCGACTTCTTCGTCCTCTTCTTCTTCTTCTCTCCCGCCGCCGCAGCTCCGCCTTCCTTCGGGAGCTTCTTCCCCGCCTTCGGCTTCTTCTCCGCCGGAGCTTTCTCGGCTGCTGGGGCCTTCTCCGCCGCCGCCTTCTTCTCCGCCTTTGGGGCCATTGAATCTACAGAAACACAAACGGTGCTTGAAACTAAGAGATTAGATCAAAGTTAGGTTGAGTGGAGCGAAAGGCTATCAGCGTGGGGAATTTGGTAAAGAGGGGGTTTTGTTATATAGGATTTGGGGATGCTCTATGATTGGTTACTTTCGTTTGGCGCGGATAGTGAATTCGAATCGTTGATGCTTTGATAAGTTAACGGTGAAGATTAAAAGAGAATCAAAATCCGGAGTACTGTTTTTTAGGGGCAGATTTGAAATTTAAACACGTTCACGAAATTTTTTTCACTTTTGCCGCCGATTTAAATTTCGCGGGTTGGATTGACAAACTTTTTGGGCTAACCAAGTTCTTACAATAAATATTGTTTTAAACGATAAAAATTTTAAAAAAAAAAAATTTACATTCGAATTCAATTGGTAGAGGGTTGAACCAAACAATATAGTTAAACTTGTTGTAAATAATATTAAGTGGACATTATTATAGTGTTTATAACACTTGTAACGGTCGGAGGATTATGACCACACTTATGGTTTCCGTTACAATTGTACATTATATATATGTGCTAATACCTTCTTGTATAGATGGAGTTTTGGATGCAAGATTAATAAAACTTCCTTGTCTCTTATCTTGTCTCTACTTTTCTTCTACTTTTCTTATTTTGTGCCACTTGCAACTGTATTCACCGGTTACCGGTTAGGAGCTAAATGGCCAACGGGCATAATCTCCCACAACACGTTATCAGCACGCTCAAACTTGGTGAACGGTAATTTTATGTTATTCTAATGCACGTTATACTCGTTTAAAGCATATACTATCATTTTTATGATCAGTGGATATATTTCTTGAATTATATGCTTTTTAGACAATTCGTATGGTATGAATGCATGATATACATTTTTCTTTCCCGTATTAATCATAGTTGTCTAGATACCACAAAAAATGGTATTTATATTATCTCATATGCTTTACGATTTTCTCAAAAATATTTTTTTTTTCGGTATTTCTTTTACATATTGCGTATATGTATATGTTTCGTATTAAAAATTTTTTTTGGGAAAACCTTGGATTGGAGTACAAACAAAATCCATAATATGAGAATGGATTTGCTAGTGATCTTCCTTATCATAGATGGTTTTTAAAGATGATTGTCATCTTGTAGTGATCTTCCTTATATTACCTTTAATATTGAGTTCATATAGCTAGCAATGATGTGCCTTGTGCAACCAAATTGTTTCAATGACTATTCTCACATTGAAAACAAAAAAATTTGACCTTCAATTAAATGCTAAGAAATGTGATTTTGTATCATGGTTTTGGAAAATGCATTGTTTTGTGGCAATTAGATATTGCATTTGTTTTGATTTGCCATAATAATCTTGATTATGATATGGGAATCATATTTTAGAATTCCTATTGAAATTGCTTATTCAAATTTTATGTGGTAATAATGATGATATTATGATTTTCAGTTACGATACACAAAAAAATGTTTATATAACATTATTACTATTAAGTAATATTTTTTTTTCAATTGAGAATTTCATGTATCGTAACCTTATCATCATTATTCTTGGATTTTGATATCCATGTTGGTTGAGAATGAATATTTAGATTTATTCTCATATTCATACTTTTAATTCAAGATTATTATTATGCATATAATCGAATTAAGTGCATAGTATTATTGATTTAAATTATCCAATTTGATTATTTCTAGCATATGATGTAACCACACTCATCAAACCACACTGCCAGTACTTGCTTTGTTTAGTGACAGTGCTATTGTTCCTGGTTAATGTGAATACCACTGCTAATGAATCACTTAGTGTTGGTATTGGGGACTAGGGTCACACCTACTTGCGTGACTAATAATGGTGCACGTCAAGCTGCCAGTTCGGCCATAGCGTCTCGTGACTCTTATGTCACAATTAATACTTTAATAATTTAAATACTTTGGTCTAGCCCCATGTTCCAATTCGTGGCAGTGCATGTGCTTTCAATGAACCTGTTAGTGGTTGGCATGTTGTGTTGCTAGGTGTTGGCCCTAGTGTTAATGCTCTTAATGTTTATAAGATTTTTCTTAAATCTTAATGTAATTTTTTTTTGCCTAGAAATGAAGCACTTATTATATGATATGATTGTCCCTGAAGGATCGTCTTGATCAAAATTCTAAACATAGCATTGCCCAGAAGGCAACAAGTCATGGCACCAATTAAAAATAACAGTACTAGTGCGGTTTCCCCAATGTAAAATTGGCTTTGTATTGTTTTAAAAGTTAATTGATGGTGCTAATTTGTTATACAAATTATTTCCCATGAGTCTTTGGCATTGAAATAGATCTCAAATCTAAGTATTTAAACGAAATGATAATACCTAATTTTTTTTAATATGGTTTTGCCCAGAAGGTAAACCAAAAGCACTAATTTATCTGTCACTCGTTATCTTGCCCGTCAGTTATGATTGTCACATTGTACTCCAGTAGTAGTACATGACAAAATTATGCTAAGTGTTTGGTCATTGGGCTATTTTTTAATAAGGTCTGGAAGACCCTGAATGTGGATTGATCTTTAAGGTGACTAATGACTCATGAATGAAGTTTGCAACTTCTATTTCTAATGTTATGCTACTCTCCAAAAGTCAACATTGACTCACATCATGTTGGTTTGCCTGAAGCAAACAAGTTGTGATTTTTTTAACATAGTAATCACTGCCTAAAAATTCTGACCGGCGCAGTTTGAAAATTAAATTCGTGAAAAATACTTGTTGAACTCCTTTTGGCATAAATTTTTTTTTTTCTGGAGAACCTAGACTCGTGATATTTGATGTCTGTGAAAATATTTTGTTAAAAATATGCTTTGGTTATTCCAGAAAAAATTGTAAAGTTTTGGCAGTGTGCTGCCAATTATTTTTCTGCCTGAAGCAATGTTGTAAAAAATTTCAGAAAAAATACTTCCACACCTTGGATTGACATGAAAATTTTTATGTACGTTCTAGACTTACTGAACTACATATCTGCCAAATTTTGTGTCAAAATGTGCTACCGTTTTCCCCAAGAAAATTCTGCAATCCAGGTCAAAATTCTGAAAATTTTCTGCCATTTTCAGCTTGTATATCTTGCTATTTTGTGATGTTTTCATGCTAATATGAAACTATGAAATAAAATGAGAACTTGCTTGGAAAAGTTCTATTTTTGACTCCCCGAAATAGGAATGAATGGGCCCGGCAGCGAACATGTGCTCATTATTCTTCGGCGAACGGTACTTCTCTCTTTTTTTCTAATTTATGAATTAAGAAACAATATCTCTTGTCATGTCATGCCTTGTGTGTACCAAACATAATACTCTTTATTTAATGGATGTGCATGACTCAATTGAGAGTTTGGTGTCCAAGACATAAGGGACAATTATATCACATGTTGCATGTGCTTATCTTTAATTGACAACATTTAGCATATAATCTCTTGATTATGTTCACATAAGAGATTTTGTTATTTATCTTGTTGGCAATTTATGATTTGCTATAGGCCATAGCTATTGAAATTCATCACACAACTTATAAGTGAGGCAATATCATGAATTCTCAATATGGTTAGGTTGCACCTATCATTGCTAAACCTTAGCTTGCATGTGATAATAGTTAAAGGCTATGACTTGTTTACAATGCTAGTTTCTGCTATAGAAACTCTTTGACATGAGATTTGGGCATATGATATTTAAATTTATAGCCCTCATTATTTTGTATATTTATTTGCCCAGAAGGTAGATTAAGGATTTTAATTCTCTAAGTCATCCCCATTCTTTTAGGATGAACCTTTTAGGATGAATCGTGACAATGAATTCTTGACCAAAAATGGTCAACCTATCCCATCAATCCCCGAAGGATTGCTTGACGTTACTATGAGTCAAGTTTTTTTTACTAAGTCTAACATACTGCAGATCACAAATCTATCCCTCAAGGATTGCTATACCCCCTTTTTCACCTAGTACGTGGTTTCAAAAGTAACATTTCCCTATCTGCGTTATTTTATTTGCGCAGTCTATTTTATATCACCACCACAACGTACCTCTAAAAGGGCTATCAAAGAAACCTCCGTCTATTGATTAAATACCGAAAGCCCATGATAGAGGATCAATACATATAATTGGGTACGTTGACTGCATTCCTAATGAAGATTGTTTCTCGGCAATAGGGGGAGATAATATACTACTCCGTAGCTTTTTGGAATGCCAAGAAATTTCATAAGAATAAAAACATCTTCACTATTTAAATCCATGTACTAGTTAGATTGAACTGGAAGTTCAAAAGATAATCTATTTGCGATTTTAGCAAATAATCTGCCAAAAACATACCTATTGATCATAATGATCATAAAAGAAGTGACTAGGTCCTATATCCTTGGACCAAACATATCTATCGATACTCCTTGACACCAGAAGTGTAGGAGATCTATCGGTGAAAGAAATATGGATCGTAATACTAGATCTAGTAAAGAAACATTGTCACTCTTGAAATAGCTTGAATAATTATGTCCTGCAGACGTTCGTCCAGATGACGAAAAACCCTGGTAAGACTTATAGGTGCACCAAACAAATGTAATACTAGGGACGCGGAACGACCAGATCAAAATATCTTTGGGAAATGTTTAGAATTTGGTTGTTTTAGAAATTGCCATTACTTTTACAGATATGGGAGTTTTACAAAAAGGTTATAGTTGTCGACAACACAATTGCCATCACAAATTGCTCGTTATATGATAATCTGGATCCAGAGTTAGGCACCAGAAGTGCCATGACTATTTAATATATAAAGGAGCAATTAAGGCATAGCTCGACTCGCTAATATGAATAAATTCTCTTTATAACAATACACCATTAAGCGTTAACCCTGAAGGTTACAAATGGGTGTGTGCATGAAAGAGAAGTAAGAATAACAAGGTGATATGATATGCAGCGAGTTTGTAGCCTATGGGTTCACGCAGAGACCCTTAATTGATTTTAATCAAATATACTCTCCCACGGTAAATGGCATTAAGTTCCGCTACATAATACAATTGGCAGAATAATAAATTTAGATATGCAGTTAAATTTATCTTGAGAAATCCCTGATGGATTCATAATTCTCATTTTTAAGTATTATTATGTGTCATTATCTACTCTTTAAAGGGTTGCGAATGGAGTTAATATCCTCATTGAAGGAATAATATGTACCATTGTGTGCTCGATAAAGGGTTGATAATGAACTTATTTATTATTTATTATCTCAGTCAAGATTGATGGTGTAAACATCAATGAAATATATAAAGAGCTTGATAGTGTCAGTTCATGTTTAAAGACTGAGACTTTTGAAATAAAAAGCTTGTGAAAGATATAAGTATTATCTCGACTTGAAGATCGAGTTTTTCTTTGAAGTTTTTTTTTTTTTATATATACACCAGTCAGCCTACATCTAAAAATGTTTTTTCACATGTCTATATGCATATAAGTGTCATGTTTTATCAAACTAAAGGTTGCCTAATAATCTCCTGAAGCATATAAGGAACCTTGTTGGACTCGAAGTCCCTTACTTCATTATCGTTGGAGCACCATTATAGAACCAGAAGTTCCATAATCGCAACATATTTGCGATGAAATTACTAGCAAAATCTAGTGCTCCCCCTACAAATGAAGTACTTGAATAATGATTAACATATCCTCCGGTATCTTCGAGATACAAAGACATGACATTTATGTAAGAAACCATGATACGGTTTTAATAGGCTACTTGGGTACTGGCTGTTTTGTTTGATCCCCGCAATGCCAAGTCCAAACTGGTTATACAATGAATTTCCCTAAATGTTCAAAATGAGGACAATAACACTTGTGTTGCACAAATGTTATATTAGCTCTAGAAGAGCCATAAGATTATTGTACACTACTCTAAGTGACAATCTAGAAGAGTTGTCCAATCCATCTCTTCAAAATTTGAAATATATGTAGAACTTGGAGATTGTTATCTTCAGGGGGAGACTGGAAGTACATTTACTCGAATCAATCCGGAAGATTGAACATTGAACGTAAAATCCTGAAGATTAAGTCATAAAAGACTAACAATTGCGCACTATTTGCAACGAATAAATACATAAATATCATGTACTCTTTTCCTCACTAGTTTTCTCCCATTGGGTTTTCTAGTGTGGTTTTTAACGAGGCATGAGTATGATATAGTAATGACAATGAGGAAAAGTTGCAAAATAATTGCTTAAATAGACAAACCCAAAAATCCTGAAGATTATGCGGTTTGCGCCCTGAAGGCTTATGGTTGTACTCTTTTTCCCTTAACTAAGTTTTTCCCACAGGGTTTTCTTAAGTTAAGGTTTTTAATGAGGCGACCAAATACAATATATGTTTTTACATATATCATGTACTCTTTTCTTCAACTAGGTTTTTCCCATGTGGTTTTCCTAGTGAAGTTTTTAATGAGGCATGAATATATATTTTTTTATTGTACTCTTTTCTTGTCTAGGTTTTTCCCACCGGGTTTTTCTAGCAAGGTTTTAACGAGGCAAGGTCGTGGCCAAATAATGTCCAAGGGGGAGTGTTGTAAATAATATTAAGTGGACATTATTATAGTGTTTATAACACTTGTAACGGTCGGAGGATTATGACCACACTTATGGTTTCCGTTACAATTGTACATTATATATATGTGCTAATACCTTCTTGTATAGATGGAGTTTTGGATGCAAGATTAATAAAACTTCCTTGTCTCTTATCTTGTCTCTACTTTTCTTCTACTTTTCTTATTTTGTGCCACTTGCAACTGTATTCACCGGTTACCGGTTAGGAGCTAAATGGCCAACGGGCATAATCTCCCACAACAAAACTATCTGCTAAATTTCATTACAAAATAATTTCAACTCTTGTCAATCAAACACTCTGTTATAGAGTATTTGGTAACTAATAAAAGCTTAAACTTTTATGAGATTTTTGAAATATAAAAAGTTATTCCCACGATTAGTGTAATATTTGACTTATAAAAGTTCGGATCAATATAAATTCAATTCAATGATACTAAGACAAATAAATATCACATGGTGGAAAACATATATGAGAGAAAAAAAAATCATAAGAAAGCTTAAACGAATCAAACATTTTTGATAGTTTTATCGGCACCAGATGTACTATAAATCAAGTATAAATGTGTATAGTGATGATATGAAAATAGAGATACTACTATTGTTCGATGCGCTCGACCTAAAATAGAGGTCCAAATTAAATAATAAATAAATAACAAACAAATAATATACTATAAGTAATAATATTGTTGCTTCTAGTAATAGATCCTTGGTATATGGGTTGAAGGTCATAACCACATACCACTAGACTATGATGATTATAGCAAATCAGGTGATAATGTCTTAAAAAGACTAATAGTTACACTTTTTGCAGCATATATATTCACTCGAATCAATTCTATATATTGGGTCTTAAAAGGAATAATAGTTATACTTTTTGCAACATATACATACCATGTACTCTTTTACTCACTAAGTTTTTCCCAATGGGTTTTCTAGTGTGGTTTTTAACGAGATATGAGTATGATATTAAAGGGGGGAGTTGTATATAAATACTTAAAGAGACCAACCCCAAAATCCTAAAGATTATGCCTTGAAGGCTTATGGTTGTACTCTTTTCTCTTAACTAAGTTTCTCCCACGAGGTTTTCTCAAGTTAATATTTTTAACGAGGCAATCAGTATAATATATGAATTTACAAATATCATGTACTCTTTTCTTCAACTAGGTTTTTCTCACGTGGTTTTCCTAGTGAAGTTTTTAACGAGGCATGGTTATAATAAAATAATGTCCAAGGGGGAGTGTTATAAATAATATTAAGTGTGGACATTATGAATAGAATATGTAACGGTCAACATTATTATTAGTCTATTATATATATGTTGTACCCCCATTTGTAAGAAGGATGATAAATGAGAATTGTTACTTTATCTCTACATATTTTTCTTCTCTCTTTCTCCTTTTTCCAATATCATATATTCTGCAATGTTCATCGGTTAGGAGCTAAAGGCCATCGGGCATAATCTCACACAACAGTATAGTACATATGCCATTCTTGATGCTTGATAAGTGTGTGGTATTAGTTAGCCTTCCATTTGAGTTAATTACCGATTTGGTCATAATTGCTATTTGCCGGTAAAACATAAAGGCCAATTTGGGAATTATTAAAAAGAAGTATTATTACCTCATCATCTTCAATCCAAATTATTATTATCATCTCCAATTCCCAGCCAACATCATCATCATCAACACCAACATGTCATTTCTTCATTAGACTTCACCCTTCACTCTCAACATCAACTCAACACCATAGTCGATCACCCCTCAACTACACCGCCGGACACCACCACCATCCACAACTTTGCTGATGCTGGCGGAACGTTTCGTCGTCGCTGCATGCACGCTTGTCAACGCTATCCTCAATTGATACTGCTAGGTTAGCCGAGAGAGGGGAATGAAGGTAGAAGGTAGGAGCTGCTACTGCCGGAGCTCCTCCAAGATTGCCGTCGCGACAGGAAGCGAGAGAGGGAGATCGTTGCTCACAACTGACCTGCTCTGCTTCGCCAAAGTTGCTTTTGAGATGAGAGGGATAGGCGGGGGAGAGAGAGACGGAGGTCCACCGCGGTGGCTTGCTGCTGCCACTGGTCAACACTTCGCTTATCTACAGTCTGCGTCGTCGACAAGTGAGGAGCGAGGGTGAGAGGTCGCTGAAAAGGAGCTAGCTGATAATAAGCTAGTTGCATGCCTTATGCTAATAATAATAATATTATTATTATTATTATTATTATAAGTCAGCAACATGTATGATAATAATGCCATCCATTTAAAATGCGGAAATAAATAAATTATACTGCCCCCATGGTTTTATTAATATCATTGTACATAATTCCATTATAATAATGCTAATATCGATCGGATTGAGTTAATTTGGACCCAAAAAAACATACATGATTAGCCATCCAAATTCCTATATAATTATAGGTGCAAATTAATTCCAACTAAGTTGACCCGTTGACGCATGTGGTTGTCCATTGTGTTCGTGGAGAACTGCATTATATTAATGGTGGAAGTTCAGCCATAATCACGGCCGCCGTAAGTGGAACAGTTTATATGGCATAGGTCCTGCAGCGCAAGAATACTTGGCATGTATTTAATATATTTCAAATGGTTGGATATATATTAATTAAGTTGGAATATGGGAAATTAAAATATGTGCTTCATCTCAACTAATTAATGATTAAAGTTGATAGTTGGATTGCACCGGTTGTATATATGCTCAACAGGGACAATATGGATGGATTCACATTCAATAATCATAGATCGATCATGCATGATGATAAATAAATAAATAAAAGATTCAAATAATGCATAAGCTAAGGTTATGGTTGAATAGTTACACTTTAAACTTTATGTTCGCGATCATGTGGAGTTCAAATTCTACTATAGACAAATTGAAGATGAGTTTCACCATTTTAGTCTGGTCAAAGATGAGATCCTTCTAACTTGAGCGCAACATATCCATTTTGGATGAGGTAGCTTTTCGATGAATATGTGTAATGATATAAACCAATCATGTTACACCATAATCGGTCGTCTCGATTGTAACCAACCTATAATATCATCCTTGTCCGACTCCAATAATGCTAGCAATGAATGGTATGCCGCTCAAAGGTGTGTAAATTTATAATACTTATAAAGCAATACTCAATCTATAATAAAAAGTATCATACATAATCTTCACAATTTAACCCTAATAATCAATTCAAATTATGGGAAAGCCTTGATTTTAATTTGTGGTATATCCATATATGGCTTGAACTATAGATACGTACTTTGCCACAATATGTTGCATTGATGTTTAAGTTTATATTACGAATGAGATTTAATACAATTGAGATCATCATGGAATTACTCAATCATATAATATAATACTGACTAAGTCATGATAAAAGGCGGCTATGTATGCTTCATATGTGATTTGTGGCAGAACAAGAAACAAAACTATAAAAAGGTGGTTATGGATTAAATTAAACATACGACTAATTAACAAAGTAAACAGATCAGAATTGTATTAATCAGATCATTACACATATATTTATGGCATATGCAAAGTTCACTACCATTGTCACTTGAACAAGTGATCCAAGGTGGTGAAGCTTCCCAATTGCCATGCAATTTATTCATTAACTAATTAAATCTGCATGCATGCATGCAGCCATCCGTACGAAACACATACTATACGTGTAATTCAAGAAAAAATATAAGCTGCTTAATTCCATCTTCATCATATCGCTACTTTGTATGTAGTTTAATTAGTTTTAATCGCCACCGTTTCCGCCGCCGTATCCTGAGCCATAGCCCGACCCATACCCAGACCCACTCCCATATCCGGAACCGTTGCCGCCACCGCCGCCGCCTCCTCCTCCTCCGCCACCACCACCTCCTCCACCGCCGCCACCTCCACGGCCTTTTCCTCCGCCGCTTCCATATCCAGAACCGCCGCCACTCCCGTAGCCGGATCCGTAACCAGACCCATTTCCTGAGCCTCCACCGCCGCCACCTCCTCCGCCTCGCCCACCACCGCCACCTCCACCCCCACCCTTCCCATTTCCTCCGCCAGACCCATACCCTTCACCGCCCCCTGACCCTGACCCGTATCCAGAACCACTACCTATCCCTCCATAGCCTCCCCCGCCGCCTCCTCCTTGACCACCACCTCCCCCACCGCCTCCACCCTTCCCATACCCCGCATCACCACCACCTTCACCATACCCCGAGCCTTCCCCAGACCCATATCCCGAACCATACCCCAACTGTCCCCCACCACCGCCTCCTCCACCTCCCTTCCCTCCCCCTCCGCCACCTCCTCCTCCCGTTATTCCCACCCTCGCCGCAAAGACAAGGTCCACGAAGAGCAGAGCCAGTAACGCCGCTCCTATTAGCCTGGAATAATGAGCCATTCCAAACTCCCAGAAGATTCAAACTATCACTAGTTTCAGTAAAATATAAGAAGTTATATATATCTAGCTAGCTAGGAAATTAAACTTGCTTGGTTATGACAGTGGTGAGGATTGAGGAATGAATGGGTGTATTTATAGGCATTGAGGCAAGAAATTGTTACATACTATTATATTGGTTATTACCTTTCTAGTAGCTTCTAAGTAGTAGGTGGAAATGTGAACGTGTTAGTAAGTAATCAAATCGGGAGGATAGTGGAATGGGTGGCGGTGGTGGTGATATGATGATGATGATGGTGGTTTGTTTTATCTTCTTCTTTCATGCAAAACCATATGCTCTCACAATAAAGTTTGCTCTCCACTTTTGACTTCATCATTGACAAGCTAAGGTCCGAGTTGAATAAAAAATGTGATCAGCCCCGCGTTCTAGATGAGCTGATTGAACCGCTTAAAGTCTTGATCCAATGATAGTATAAAAATTTAAAGGTTATTGAGAAACATTGATTGATTAAAAGAGATAAATATTTTTTGTAGGCGAAATATATAGTAACATAGAATTAATGAGACGACTCAGAATTTACTTATTAAATAAGAACTTTGAAAACTTAAAATTACTTTAGCATAAACTATTATATCTATAGAGTATCATAAAAAAAAAAAAAAGAAAAAAAAAAGGGACCAATTCAATAACCCATAGTGGCATAGTCCCACTTTTTGAATACTATTGAGCTACGTGTTAGATAGTTAGCTACTCAACTTTCATACGGCATATACATATGTAGTGGCATTCATGTGTGGCTACTTATGCGTTTCAATCATTCCGTTTAATTTATGCGTGCAGAGAGCTAAGAAATATTAGTAATAAGCACTTGAATGGTATTATTTTACTCATATAAATCACATGAATAATGTAAAGGGTTGGATGAGATTATTTTTTCTATACTAGTTCATATTATTTTGGTAGCATGTAAAGAAAGCATTATATTGTAAATCAATCAAGTTATTAATTATTTAGTTATTTTGTATGAGTACAATTACCATGAGGCCAAAATAATGTCTCTGTTATTATTATTTTGAGCGTCTCTTGTCATCATCCCTGACCTTTTAATCTTGCACATTAATAACAATTCAATTTATATTAGGTCTTAATTATGATTATGATATATTGTCATTTAATCTACACAATAATTTATCAGATCCTTTTAATTTATAAATAAAGAAACAAAAAGCACTAAGCTCACCAACTCAATATTCCCTGCCCTGTCTGCACCTCCGAGCCTTAGATTTGTCGTGTTTGTGAGTAGTGGATTGTCAGTACATCATAAATGCATAAATGCATCATCACGTGTTCATAAATATATTAGTTGGGTGTCTGAGTGTGATGCATTTGTACATTTTATTCTGGTACATTATATTTCTGAAGTCTGAACATGTGGGAGTGCAATCATACATATCTGGTGGTACAGATCCATGCGTCTGCACAAAAAGCTCTGTACGCATTTGATTCAGTATATATATATATATATATATATATATATATACTAGTTTTTTTATGCGCATTGCGCAATTGAGATAATGCCCAATGTTTTTTTTTTTTTTTTAAATAAGTACTATAAAATATATCAACGCAAGATTATATTGAAATTGTTCATGCATAGATAATTGAATGTTGAATTTGCGTATCTAAATAGGCAATTCTAAGTTTATAAATGCAAGATAATATAGTCAAGATTGATTATAATTGTCAATAAAATAATTGTGTGGGTACGGTTGAAACCAAATACGGGAAATAAGGGAGAACAAATAAAAATTAGGGCATAAAATATTAAATATATCCTAATATTGAAGAGCTAACTGCTAATTGCCAAACATTGCGAGATAGTTTCCCAATTCAATTTGTTGTGTGATTTGAATACTCTTTTTGTCAATAAATCCCCCAAATAGTTAATATGATTGGCTTAATTATACTTTTTATTTTTATTTTTATAATAATAATAATAATAATAATAATAATAATTATTATTATTATTATTATTATTATTATTATTATTATTATTATTATTATTATTATTATTATGAAGTATATGTATACCTTTAGGTCATTTTACATGTTAATCTAAACGGCTAATTTTTTCAAATATCTTTTTACCAACCGTTGATATAATTCGCTGGTCAAATCCGCTAACTGCTGATTATCAAACAAGGACATTGCGATGTAGTTCTCACTTTAATTTGTTGTGTGATTTGAATACTCTCTTTGTCAACAAATCCCTCGAAGTAGTTAATATGACTGTCTTTATTAATTATGTTTTTTTAATTTTTACTTTTTTTTTTCATGGTATTAATAAAATACTTGATAAATAAATATATAGCATTATTTTGTATTATAATTTTGATATTTAATTAAAAAATAGTGCACAAAAACGATAATAGACAATGTAGTGAATATAATTAATTGATTAATTTGAATGTAAAGAATTTTTACATAGGAGAAAAATAAAGACAATATAACTAATGAAATTATTTCTCTTATTTAATTTATTTATTGATAATGAATATTTTTTTTTTAATAAAGACATTGTACACACATAATTCTAAATTAAAGAAATGCATATGTATTATTTTTTGGTGTAGCTATTAAATTATTAATTAATTAATTAATTTAATAAGAGTAAAATAGAATACTAATTATGCCAACTTTAATTTGATTGGGATGTGGTTCGAACCTGAGACCTTTCTTATTAAAATCAATGAGTAAGTTAACGGTGAACTAACAGAAACTAACAGAAAAGATAATATTTAACGGAAAAGTTAACGGATAATCATATTCATTAATGATAAATTAAGAAATCTCAAGGAAAAATTAAAATCTGATCAATCTGAGCCATTCATTTGATTAAAAAATTTGACCGCCATTTTTTCTACCCATTATAGGCTTAACTCTCGTGGGCTCTTATTAATATAGTAGATAGTATATATATATATATATATATATATATATATATATATATATATATATATATATATATATATATATATATATATAGACGTTGATGATCCATGGGAGGACAAATGTCATCTTCATATCACTTTCTTAACTTCTTTGATTGCTTTAATCTGGTGGCCAAATGTAGTGCAACACAGCTTTGCTAGCTTGCATGCACTCACTCACATATCCATCTTAATCATATCATTGTATCATATGCATGCCACGCCTACCGACCTATCTTAATTGGCAGCATCAATACATGCAACAACTCCAATACTCCATCATCATTTTATTCTCTAATTAGTTATTTATGGTGTCCGATAATCATATTAAATTTCAAGTAATTCAAAATAGTCTAATTATTGTTGAATGTTAATTATTTAAAGTCTAATTATTCTAATATTAATAATTTTGTTGGGATTATGAAAAATGGTTCATACCACAAACAATTCTGATTAGGCACAACACAAAAGAAGTCTAGTCGAAAAGAGGTCCTAACCCAATGCAAAAATCCTATATGAGGGGTAGAGAGTAGAGACAAAGGTGCAGGGGCAAGGACGTGTGGCTCAATCAAAGCCGGGCAACAAGCCAACAAGGCATGAGAGGAAAGAACGATCCACAAAGAAGTGACTTATATATTGGGTTACGTTGTTACGTGAGTTATTTAGATCTAAATAAACTATTTCTTGTATTAATTGGCCTAAGCTTTCTATCCAAATTAATATCAGCTATATGTACAATTATTTCAATCAATACTTTATTGAATAATAATCTCAATGACAACAAAACACCCCATCATAATCAAATTTTATGGTAGTTGATTATGTTAAAAGAGACTCATTCAAACTTCTATAGGTAATCGTTGAATACAATTTTATAATATATAGTTACAATCATATACATTATAGAATATAAGAGGTGCCTCATGTACAATAAGTTTATCTCAATGTTTCATCACTACTTAAGTTTTTTTAACGCACGGAATGTTTTATGCGCCATAACTTCATGGAAATTAATTAATAATAATCAATTAGAGAGATTATTATATTCAAATGATCTGTCCATAAGGATTAGCCTGCTGATTAACACTAATCCAAGTTCCAATGAAAGCGTGTAAAGGTGCAAGTTCAAGTTTGTGGAGTTTAGCAATTAGCACTAAGTAGTTGACGCCCGAGTCTTCCATTATTTTGTGGAGCAATGTTAATGGTGGTTGAAATTCAGGCGCGCACGGAATGATTACTAGGGACTAATTACCTTTTTATATTTTTTTAACGAAAAAAATTCATAATTACTATGTAAAAAACTAAAAATATATACAGAGTATATATCGTTTTTATGTAGACAAATTATTTTTTTTTTTTTCTCAATATACCATATTGCACTTGTCGTTAGAACTTTATCCATCCAGATAATGCATTTTTTTTTATCTACATGTCAATTAACATCATTTTGATCATCTATATTTGATATTAATTATTTTGATTACTTTTACAAACATTTCAAAAAAGACCCTAGAGAATGTCACACTATGAATAGGCTCTTTATTTTACTCTATCTCATCATAGCATTTCTGGGGATAATAATTCTCATTGTCTAATCCATATGAAGAATGTAAAAACTTGTGTGAGACTATCTCACGTGTCTCAATCCGCGAGATGGGTCAGATATTTAATTAATGATGAGGTCAAAGATCCGACCCGTCCAACGGATTGAAACCCTCACGGTCTCACACAAGTGTTACCATTTGAGGTAGAATATAATATGTCCCAACTCATTACCCTCGACAATAATGTTGTACTTAACTATGTACATTCATTCCCATATAAACTTCATTCACTTTTTTGCAAGATACCATATTGGTCATAATGACTTTCAATATGTCCCATTATACTATGTAATGTGCCTTGTTCATATTGAGCTTGAGGACAACATATCCCACTTTTCGTTGTGTTTTTCTCTTGAGGTAGTGGTGGATTTCAAAAGTGATCATAACATTGTATGTGATCACACAATCATACACAAAAGCATATTGAGTAGCAAATATGATATGCCCCAATAAGGATTTTAGACTGTTTGTAATGACCTCTACTACTACGTTGTAACCAATGTCGCAATGAACAATATGATAGCCTAATATCATTCAATGATTCCAACTTAGGGTGTGTTTGGTTGGCAGGTTTAGCACTCAGGTACTGGTATGAAAGTGATTGCTATTGTTTGGTTGACTGATTTTTAAAACACTACTATGCGTTTGAAATGTTAGCTCCATTAATGAAAAAATCCATTCTCTTAGTTTTTCTTCAGGCTAAGAACCAAGTGAGCCATATTTACACAACGTCACCACCAAACAATTTACTAGATTGAAGAAATTGATCACATCAATTGACAATATCCAATCTCAGGGTATGTGAATGATTATAGGGTAAAAATGAATAATGGGATGAAGTTATGAAACCTTAGAAAACCAAGGAATGAATTTTTCCATGGGGTAAGATGCACATACAAAAATGTACCATCCCCACCCTATCCCAAAAGGAAAAATGACACTTTTCCCTCCTGAATTATAGCCTTCTAACATTTTTTATTCGTGTGCTATTCATGCATCCACATTTGCCCCCTCAATTATTTTAAAAGTGACGATTTTTCTCAATTTGATGTTAAATTGGCATTTTTTACCCTTAAAATAATTATTTCATTTATTTTACTTTTATGTAGGGATAACTACGATTCAATTTGAATCAAACTGGACACTATAGCATTCCAACTGAAATAGTAGGGATGGTTCTTGTTACGATTTAGAACTGGGAAAAAAACAATAAAATAATTGTTGAATTTAGACTATTTTTAAATAGAAAATAAAATTTATAAAATAAATAAATAATTTTTTTTAACTGGAATCAGAATAAATGCGAAAGGAATCGAATATATTTATTTACAAACGATATTTACAAATCTGTAGGGATCCAATTCGCATTTATTCAGATTCCAGTTTCAATTTGAACTGCCGGTTCAAAATTTATTTATTTATTTATTTTTTAAATTTTATTTTATATTATAAAAATAGTTTAAATTCAACAATTTTTTTAACGTTTTTGAATCGTAACAAGAACTATCCATACTATTTCAATTCGGTTGTTATAGTGTCCAATTTGGTTCAAATCAAACCGTACTCATCCATACATATAAGTAATAATTTGTTGGAGAAGAAAAATAAATGAAATAATTTTTTTAAAAGTAAGAATGTCCATTTATCACCAAAGGGGGAAAAAAATCACAACTTTTAAAATAATTAAGGGCAAATGTGGATGCATAAATAACACGAAGAAAAAAATGCTATATGTCTATAATTTCGGGGGGGAAATGCTATTAAAGTCAAAGGACCCGAAAGACGTTTAGCGGATCCGGGTTGAATCAAAACATCTTTCTGATTTAAGTCCTCGCGCTTCCTCCCCTCTCAAATAAACCCTAAACCCTTTGCTGATTTGAAACTCGTCTCGTAGGCTCTTTGTGAAAAGCTCCAATGGCGGTAAGTTTTCAGTTACTGTACTCTAATTCGTTTATTGTTCATTTTACGGCAAGTTTTTCTTGTTTTGTCTTGTTTGGTTTTGTTTTGTTTTTTCATGGAACAAAATGCTGGTTAGCTATTCGTTCCAGTTGTGAGTCCCGTTTTTCGGCATCGAAAATTTATCACTTGAATTGTAGTTTTTTCATTTGCATTTTAAAAAATGTTGTTATTTACAATTTGAGTTGTAAAATTTGGGTGTAGTAGCTTCGTAAATCTTTATGGGAGGTTCCGCTATATTTGAGGCTTAGGTTACTCTGCTAATATCTTTGTGCAGCTCTTTGCTAAGTCTCGGAATCAATCAGAAGTATTTGAACTGACCTTAATTTCCTTCTTTGAGTGAAAAACCCGTGGAGTTTAGGGTTGAGGGTGTACTTGAAATGAAATTTATCATTTCACGGAAAGTTCTTATGTTTTGGTAGATGGGGCTATTTTCTTTAGGAATAGTCACTGCACATTTTAAGGCAAGTTGTTCTTGTTCTTGTTTTGTTTTTGTTTTTGTTTTTTTTTTTTTTTCATGGAACAAAATGCTGGTTAGCTCTTCGTTCCAGTTGTGAGTCCCATTTTTCGGCATAAAAAATTTATCACTTGAAATCTTGAATTGTAGTTGTTCATTTGCATTTTAATGCCTTCAAATACTTTTTTTTTTTTTTTTAATAAAATTTCTTTGATGTTTTTATTTACAATTTGAGTGTAGTGGCTTCGTAAATCTTTATGTAAGGTTCCACTATATTTGAGGCTAGGTTACTCTGCTAATATCTTTGTGCAGCTCTTTGCTAAGTCTCGGAATCAATCATAAGTATTTGAACTGACCTTAATTTCCTTCATTCCCCGTGGAGTTTAGGGTTAAGGGTGTAGTTGAAATGAAATTTATCATTTCACGGAAAGTTCGTATTTTTTGGTAGATGGGGCTATATTCTTTAGGAATAGTCACTTCACATTTATAAAAGGAAATGATATGAGTATGCTGTTTGCATTTATAAAATGTTGCTTTATGCTTTTTTGGCCATCTCTCGAGGTTGCCATTTGACACAGGGAAGGATTTTGATTTGTGGTGTTCTCATGAACATGAGATGATTAGTTGTGATGATCCTCTTTGTGTCATATTCTTAGAATCTCTTATGGAAAGAACTTGAGCATGTCAGAGCTACAGCTCTTGGGTATAGCAGAAAACATGTGTTTGTATATAAGGGTAATTAGAGAAGATTGTGGAGTAAAGGTTCAAAGAGTTGAGAATGCGTCTTACACTCTTACCTGAGCTAAGCCATCTTATAGGGTAAAAGAAATCTTTGTCCACTTGAAACACTATTTTTTCAATGCTAGAAGTGCTTAGGTGATACTATATATGTCATATGTTGCAAAAAACAAAGAGGAACTTTTGCATATAACAAGGACATTTTCTATTCAACCCTAGATGTTCTTGGGTTCTACTACAGGAAGAAATTTTTGCCTTCTCTAAGTACCTTTTTTTTCAATTTAGGGTGTGTTTGGAAACAAGGAAAATGATTTTTGGAAAATGAGTTATTTTTTACATAATATTTTCATTTCTAGCATTCTAGAAAACTGTCATGGTGTGTTTGGTTCATTTTCCGGAAAATGAGCAGAAAAGAAAAGGGTCAAATACCCTAAATTTTATCCGGTCAACTCCGAAGACAAAATCGGCGACCGTTGCCGGAAGGCGACGGTCGCCTTCCCATCTCAGAGAAGGCGATCTGCGACGGTTCCACCGTTGCCGGTCGCCGATTTCGTCTTCGGAGTTACCGGATTGTCGTTGAGGAAGAATGTCCGGAAGAAGGGAAGAGAAGAGGCCTGGAAAATGACTTCCCCTCAAAAATAGGGGAAGTTGTTTTCCAGAAAAACAAGGTGACTTTCCCCTTTGACCAGAATTGATTTTCCATGACTTTAATTTTCCAAGCCTTGCCAAACACTGGAAACCCGAAAATGATTTCTGGAAATCATTTTCGGTTTCCAAACACACCCTTAGATGTTTTTGGGCTGTTGGGTAACATTATTTTAAGTTCTGATTATTTTTGTTATATTTGTCTATTACCTCCTAATTTCTATTGTGCCATTGCTACACATTTGTGTACCATCAGATGAAAGTATATGTATCTGGCTATAAATAAAATAAGCTTGAGTTCTCTTACTCTGTCTAATAAGTTCTCAATATTCCCAAATTGAAATCAGACTGAAGTGAAGACTGATGCTGAAATTTTTTATTACATTCTTGTTCCAGACTGTACCAGTTAATCCCAAGCCATTCTTGAACAATTTGACTGGAAAGCCTGTCATGGTAAAACTCAAGTGGGGGATGGAGTACAAAGGTACTATTCTTCTCATTCTTAAATCTTAATTTAGGTTTGTGGATACATTTTTAAACCCTTTTCCTTTGTCTTTTTTGTTTCAGGGTTTCTTGTCTCTGTTGATTCATACATGAACTTGCAGGTAATACTGTGTATCCAAATTCAGTTGATTTTTTCATTTTTAAAAATTAAGTGTTTATCCATGTATACTAATGTGTGTTCAGAAATACTGTTATTTAGCGTATTGAAGCATTTAGCAGTTTCACCTTGCTCTCATATTGAGTAACAGGAATAAAACTCTGAAGATATGGCAATTCTTATATTTCTTAAGTTCTTAGTAACTCATGATTTGCCAGTTTTCATCTTTTGGATCTGTTATCCTTTTTTCAGCTAGCTAATGCAGAAGAATATATTGATGGACAATCCACTGGCACCCTTGGAGAGATCCTGATCAGGTATATTTCCATGATTGATACATTTTCTCCCTTCAATCCTTGGATTGTGTAATTTCATAATTCATATCGCTGCTCTTGTGCATGATCACCATGCCTTTAGTTCGATATCCAGCAAATAGAACACACAGTTCTCTTTCAGATGGATTAATTTCAACTTTGTATATCAATGTGACATAGGATAGTACATGAAAGTTCGATCATCCCTTTTAAACCAGAGCAGTGAAAGTTACTATCGGTTTGAGTAGTGGACGTGCACTAGGAAAATTTTACTTCCATTTGTTTCTTTGTTAATGTCAATCACATTCTCCTCCTACAGATGTAATAATGTCCTTTATCTTCGCGGAGTACCTGAGGATGAAGAAGTGGAAGATGCAGATGGTGAGTAGGAATGCATTGTGTTGTAGTTAGTGACCTGCAGAGGCTATTGTTCCTGTTAAGCCAAGTTTCAGTATCTTTAACCTTGTGGTTTATAATTTCTCGGGAAATGCTTTTTCATACTTATGTAGTTGCACATTTGAACAGAACTTGGCAAGATATCTCCTTAACATTTGGACTTGTAATGGATTATTTGAGATGATAGAATTTGTTTTTCAGAGACGAAGTCATACTAGTTGTCTTGTAATAATGTAATTCATTTATCTATCTTCAATCTATACATGAATTTCAATGCCTTCCCTATGTGACATTGTGACCCATCAATCACCTGACATGTTTTAAAAATGCACCAAATCCAAAAACTTTTACCAATTTTCTTTAATTCAAACGTTGCTGTTTCATGCATATAACGTTGGAGAAGTAGTCAATAAATAACCATTCTGCCCACAACCTCCCACATAGGGCTGTTAACGAACCGAACATAAACAAATGAAGGTTGTTCGTGTTCGTTTGTTAAGAATTTTGGAGTGTTCGTGTTCGTTTGTTAAGCGTTCATTAGTGTTTGTTAACGTTCGTGAACGTGTTCATTTACGTTAACGAACACGTTCGCGAACGTGTTCGTTAACGTTAATAAACATGTTCACAAACATGTTTGTTAACAAACACGTTCACGAACATGTTGGTTTCCGTTCATGAACACGTTCGTGAACCTTTAATAACTAAACACGTGCATTTTTATGATCATAATTCGTTCGTGAATAAGAAATAATCTGCGTTCATATTCGCGAACATTATTAAACAAACACTAAACGAGCTTGTTCACGAATACAAACGAGCTTGTTCACGATCTCTTAGCAAACAAGCATGCAAATATTCAAACTCTATTCGTTTATTAACCGAGCTCTAATTTTTGTTTGTTAATGGTTCGTTTTCCTTAACAAACAAACATAAACGAACGCTTGCAGAACACGAACACGAGTAGTTAGTTGAAAGCTCTGTTCGTAACACCCCTACTCCCACACCATCATTATCATAATTTACGTGAAATTCGATAGAACAAAGAATATGCTTTGTATAATCCAATGTTAATAACCCAAAATTAAAATATTGTTTTCTTGGTCAATCAATAATACTATCTTACAAGACTCCCTCATATTCTACGATGCTAACTATGACAAACTGAAAAAAACTTGTGTCTACTAACGAAAGATCATGTAATATAACTAAATCGACGTGTGATATAACGCTATCAATCAGATAAAAAGTTACAAAGTTAAGGGATTAAATATAGAACCAGCGAGTTCTATGATATATATTTGACTAACTTAGACTGTTAAAGCTTTTCCAATTCACAAAACCCTGAGAACGCAAAGTCACCAGTCTGATGTGTACTGTTTTTTCAGACAATTTGTTATACTAATAGTAACAAATGTACTCAAAATCCCCTACCAGTACCAGCACCTAAATAGATACCACAAGTCCTGGGGAATGTTGCAGCAAAAGTTCCACTTCCCTGATGATGGATGCATAAGATTACCTTGCATAGATGAAGGTTCCAACCTTGACGGAAATGGAGAGGATTAGAACCCAGAAGAGAAGAAAGTAGAACCAACCCCCAGATAGCATCTTCCCGTGGCTCACTGGTTCCAAGCTGCCTGGACTTTGTGCACCTTGTGAGAAGTCGAAAGAAAGGATGATGTTGTAATTGCCATGCTTGCTGCCGAGAGTCAGGTCGCTGATTTGAATCAGACCAGCAGTAACGTGCACTGAGCTTGATGCTTGGGTTGCTGCATTGAGGCGCAGAGCTGCATCTTTTGGGATCTCTGATGCAAATGCTGGAGGAGCGGGTATGTTGCCCAACATTTGGCTGGCCTGCTTGATAAATGGATGTTGGAAGTCTGTGAATCAAGAAAAGGAAAAAATGAGAAATAATCTCAACAATGAAATGGAGAAGTTTGATTTCTCAGCAAAACAAAAGCTTTCCACTGCCAAGGCATTCTTATCCTACCTGACCCCAATTTGGTGGGCTCTGGCTTTGACGATGATGCAATATCATTCTTATGTTCAGTATCAACGGCCTTTTCGTTGGGCAAAACAGCCTGTTCAGTTGTGTCGCATGCATCCTGTCAAACAGCAAGAGTTAAACTGCAGTGACTAGGATTGCACTGCTAAAAGAAGCAACATATAGTTGAATGTGCAATTTAATTTACCTTATCAGCAGAAGGTGATTGTTCTCCAAGAAACTCATCATTTCCAATAAATATATCAGAATCAAACAGCATGTCTTGGAAATCATCCTTGGCATCATAGAAATTAAGGAAGTCAAACATGTCGAAGCCTGAGGTATTTCCTTCGACAGGATTTGAAAGATCATTAGTTTCAAGAAATGTTCCATCATTGAACTGAAATCTGTCGGTAGTGTCCATGAGTGGTTCATTGAGTAAGCAATTCAAACTTTCAGAGGTCATGCTATTGCTAGACTCGCCCATGTACTCTCGTTTGACAGGCTTGGGATCAAAATCATGAATTGGTTGATCAAAGGGCTTCAGCTCATCAGGATGTTGCTGTCCGCAAGGATACTCAACATTATCCACCAAAATATTCTCAAAATCTTCAACATGGGCAGCTGCATCCTCGATGTACCCAGTACTATTGTTCACAGGAACCAGAGCACCATCTGAGGGAATGTCAGCCCCAAGAATCTGGTCAAAGTGTCAAACATAGTAAAATATAAGCACACCACCAACAAATAGGGTTCTCTTGTATTCATCTTATCAAATAGGAAATACAACAATTAAGTTTCAGATTACACTACTAAAATTTTATCTCATCTCCCACTCCCACCACACCTTTAATAGTAAACATGGTGTGCTCATTTGTAATAATACTGCCATTTATTTACCACTATACATGTTTTAAAGAGAGAATTTGAACATATTAAAAAACAAAATATAGAAGGGAAATATATAATGCAGCTATAGAAGAGAAATCAAACCTCCTCAAGGTCATCTCCATCCAGAAAGATATCATCTGCAAGTTCTGCTTCATCAGGCAAATCTGCCTTAGGGACCATTGCTAACACATCATCCTCCCACTCTTCCTCAACGAAAGGTGCTCCATACTGTTCCCCATTCTTTGGCCCTGACCCACTTTTTTGAAATACTCTGCACAACACAAATGCATCCTTCTCCGCAAAAAAATAAAAAATAAAAAAAATAAATGAGACAAAGAAGGAAAGTTAAAAACAAAACACACACACCCAGATAAAGAATTAAGACAGCTAGTAAGCTGAGCAGAGATATGAAGGGTTTTTCCTCTATTGTTTTTGCTCTGGAAAACTTTTAAGTTGTCCAAAGATATAAAGGTTTCTTTTTCACCTCTTGTTGGGAAGGAAGGATCAGAGGATGATTTCACCCAGTTATAAGTAAAACAAATAGAACAATGAAAATGTGTTATTGTACATGAATTTACTATGCAAACCTGAACAATTCCTGCTTTACTTAAATCCTCATCTACAAGCCTGTACTCATGCATCACCCAATTAGTTCTCTGACCTTTTGGAGCCCGACCACTATGATATACCAGAGTCTTCTTCATCCCCACAACCTTAGACCGATGATTGACAGCCCTGTCCTTCCCAGTAGTCTTCCAGTACCCTTTTTCAGTTGCCCGGTTAGTCCTTGAACCATTGCCATACTTCTTATCAAGCATACTGAAGAAGTACCACTCGAGATCTCTGGTCTTCAGCCTTGACAAACCTGATGGCATGACACAATTACACCAATCTTCCTCCAAAATTAGAATAATTTGAATATAAAATCTGAGTCATTGTATGCTAAAGATCAGTAAAGAAGTTAATAAATATTCTACTTAACATAAACAGGATGGGATAATACAACATTAGTTTCCATAGGTGGAGTCTTTATATACCTCTTTGTATACACATAACTACATAATATGATACAAAAAATGCTTCAACAACTTGAGTAGATAATGTTGATAATTTATTAAGGAATTGTAACCATAGCACATCCTACACTCTTCCAATATATGAGATTATAGTCCTAAACCTCCTGACTTTCATTAATTTGGGGAACAACTCCAGAATGGAGATTATGCTTTATAGTACAACCTTCGTCAACAAAATCCTCAGTATACATCTCATTAGTCCATACCGTGACCAATGAAAATCTCCTATATCAGAAAAACCCAAATTAAACATATTCATTTACAAAGAAAAAAAAACCATACTCTTAAGCAAAAGCAGTGATTCACCCTGGAAACTCAAGATTAGTGCGTCATTTAGATGGTATAACCCTCAATTTGAAAAGGGAAACACCCATAACTCTATATTAGCTCACTACACCTCGGGTCATAATTCTTTTCAACTAGTTATACCTAAATTCCTCGTAAAAGCTAAAACTATAGCTCAGATCCTGGTTCTCAAACGAAAGGCGCCGCCTTTTAGTAATACAGTTTACCGAGACTGATAATCACGTGCGTGTATACAGGGAAAGAGAAAAAAGAAGGTTCTAGAAGCGGGTACCTGGGAGATCCCAAGGCTCGACCTTGTAGATATCGATCTCGGAGATGGCATCAAAGCGGAGGGGCTTAGCGCAAACCCTACGCCGGAGATAGTAGAAGACGAGCTCCTCGTCGGTGGGGTGGAACCGGAACCCCGGCGCCAATAGCTGCGACGACCCTCTCGATTCCATGACACAATTCCAAAACTATGATTCACTCTAGGTTTTAACACCGTGTTATTGAAAAGAGACGAATTATAGACTTATAGAGAGAGAGATAGAGAGAGATTGTGAGCTTAGCGATTGCGAAGGAAAAGGGATTGTATTGGTTAGGTCAGTCCGTCCCAGGCAGGACTCCTTATTTTTAAGAGTTTTATAATTAGTTTTTGTTTTCCGTATAATAATAATTTAAAAAAAAAAAAAAAAAACTAATATGCGTGTTTACTGCTTTCTTTTCCTTTTGGTGACAAATCTAATCTAACTACTATGATATGAGAGAGTATGTATTAGTTGGGAGTCCAAATTCTTCGAGTTGTTGATTTGATAATTATAAGTTAGTGATTGTGTTATGCTTTAATATAACATCATTTTTTATAATATCACAATGTACTTAGCATGGTTAATTGTTATTATATAGATATGAGTAGTGAGTTAGTGACTTCGTTCTACTCTAATATAATAGTGACGTCATAAGACCACACGGTATGTTGTGCGAAAGTTGTTAAATAGACAAAACCAGTAATTGGTGGTTAGTAGAATTGTTGGGGGCATAAGTCGGTGAATGGTCAAGTCCAGTGCTGAGAGAAAAAACTGTTGAGCATAGGTAAAGGGCCAGGTCCATTAATTGATTGCTAGGAAAGTTGTTAGATGAATGCCCGTGAATGACAAAATTCATCGCCCCTATACGAAAATAAAGTTATGTTTTTGTTAGAAGTTATAATTTTTGACGTTGTGATGAGCACTTGATCGTAAAAAGTCACTTGGCATGGTTAATTGTTAATGATTGCAAAATGTCGAGGTATGGTGCTAAGAGCAAATGAATATAGTGATGGTATTACTCATTTACTCATATTGCAAAATCATATATGAAGTGCCAGCGAAACATATACGATAAGTTAGGTGTTAACTCCACTCTTTAATACGAACTCATGGTCCAGGTTGTATTGGAATAGGACACCACTCGTTACGCGATAGGTTTAAGAGAGTGTTTGGTTGGAAGGAAATAATTAAGGAAGAAAAATTATAATTATGTGAGAATTTAAATTATATTATTGAGTTAATATTAAAAATGATCATTCACTATAATGATTTTTCTTAATTTCGGTAGTGACTTAATGTAGTTTCAAACTTTTATATTTTTGCTCAATTTAATTATTCATTTGTTATACCATTAAATTGGTGATAAGTAATGGACAATTCAATAATCTCAATATTAATTTCTCTTTACTCTTAAATTAACGAAGTGTGAATTTTTTTTTTTTTACGAATTACTTCCAGATCTGAGAATCAAAAATATATTTTGATATTTTTACGAATATCAAAGTATCAACAAAAATATATTTTGATATTCTTAACATTCTTTTCTTTTGTTAAAAAAAAAATAAAAAATTCTTTAAATTTGTGGGTCAAGAGCAGGTGACGTAGCTCGTGACAACTTGCGGTCACGCCGAAAAATGGTCTGCTACGTGTTAAAATACTGAGGAAGATTCTAGAAATCATCTCATGTTTATTTGGGTCCGTCGTGGTTTATTCATTTTGTTTGATCAGGTTTGATAGTATGATTTCAACCCTAACAACATGTTTGATTCATAGAATATATAGATAAAAAAAATATTATTTTTAAAAATAGATATAATTTGATCTATTATTTATCTTGGATTTTTATTTTTGAGTATAACATTCATATGTATGAATTATTCCCTTTACATGAGAATAATTATTTATAGGAGTCGTTGGTATTACGTATTAGTTATTCTTAAACACTAGCTCCGTCATTATGAAGGCAACGTTTGGAGCAATTCTCTTCTCGTCTTGAAGCTTTCATAGTTGCTTCTAGTGGTGCTTTGACGAGGTGTATATGCCCGTTAAAGGCGAAAATTTTAACATGCAAAGAAGCGTTATTATGGTTGATAGATCGTGGGATAACTTTTGTAAAATTACAAACTGACTGCTTTGATCTTCTTTACGACTTACACCATAATTTGACGATTCCTACGATTCAACTCTAGTCATATGTTGGCATTACCACTAGAAATATCATGCGTTACTTACTGATTGAATAAAGATGGAAGCACCTTCTCCAACTCCACGTGTCCCCCCGATTTGCAGCTTGTTAACTAGAATTGATTCGCCGTATCCCATGCATATCCATCATATAGTAGATAGACTAAAAGTCTAAAAATGATATAAGAGAACGAAAGTTAAGGACTGAAATATGAAATTTAAAAGCGCAGGGACTTTAGCGACATAAAATTGAAGGGCTCAAGTGAAATTATCCATCGGCGGCTTTATATACATTAATTCCACCAAAAAGAACCTTAGCTTACTTACCTAGCAAGAAATAGAAGATTATGGTGAAGAAGGTGGACGCCATTGCTGACTTCCTTCTCCGTGAAGGCACTGCCACTTATCATCAGAGCTGTGACGTAAGAGCCTACGTCAAGGATATTGGACGATATTAGACTTTCAATTTTAATACTCAATAAAACATTTATTCTTATAAACATACATTTACATTTCTAAATAGTTAGTTAATATGATTCATCATCACCCCTAATACTCTTTGGGATCATCTTTAAATTGGATGTGATTGATAATACTTTTGCGTTGTCCATTTACTCTCAACCTTAGATCAGAAAGTTGAGGAGAATAGCATTCGGTAGTCTTTGATATTTCATTCCACCACTACACTGCTTTCATCCCAAGCATCACCCTATACAACGAGTTTTTACCACTTCTGATCAATTTTTGGTGATACTCTTTTGTTGAGCATATAATCATTAATGTGCAATCCAACTATCAACTTAGGCTTTTAGTTGAGATGGAGCACATGTTTTAATTTGGTATCAGAGCCAGACCAAAAGGTGACTTCGCCACGTAATTATTAAAAAACAAAACAGCGAACCACTTCCATCATGCACAACCCCAACAAAACATTTTAAGGTTTCAGCTAAAAAGATTGAAACATCTGAGGATTATTGCAACTGTTCAGGAAACACTGCTGCTTATATTCATAGCTACTGGCACATCTGGTTTCATGTACTCAGTCAACTATTACACAGATATTACAGAGTTGTCGACAGATGAAGTAGAACGAACATCTCCAGCATCGCTTTGCTCATCGTCTTCCACTTCCTGATGCCATCTGAGATCGATGTCATGTAGAGCTACAAAAAGCTAGCAAATAGGAAATGCGGCTCTACTAGCTAACCCCCTCGGACAACTCGTCTAAGGTCCTCGTTCTCCTTGTTCAAAAGGTCGATGCGCGATTGAAGGATGTTGATCATGGCTTGTGCCCTCATTACTTCAATCTTCAGTGTCTCCCTCTCCATGGACACGTTCAGGATCTCGTTCTCCAAGTTGCTAATGAACTTGAGGTATCCAGGAGGCACTGATTTCTCGAGGGTGGAGGAATCAAAAGTAGGGGCGTTGCTGGGCTGGTTCTCCCTGGGTTCAATGGGGTCCAACAGGGGGAATTCTAAGAGAACGGGGGAATCATTTGTCGTCATCATCATGGTTGGAGGATCCTGGCTTGTGGTAGTCGAATCTTCCGACCCATTTGCATGGCTTGAGCTAGGGCAATCCTGCTTCGATCTTTTGCTTTGGGCCAGAGAGAGGGGTTCAGGATCCTCCGATCTCTCTCTTTTGCAAACAAATGAAAGGGACAATGGTTCGACTGGACTCTCGGGAGCCTTGCATAGAGCACCCTGCAATCGTGGCCAACATTTAAGAATATGCGTTAAATACAATTCAAGGCCATGCACCAATGAATTAACTTTTTGAGAAAAGGAATTATACCAAACACCTATCAGCTAAGAGCTAATTTACCACACCTTTCTACAATTGGCTAATGTTATCAACTAGTTATACCCTATAATTAACCCAATCAGCTAACAGCTAACAACCATTTACCAAACAGGGCAAAAGTGAATGTTAACTTTTTGCTGTCTATGATTTTGTAACCGTTGCTTATACTTGAAAGCAATGTGAATGCGTATGGCAACAACTACTTTGTTGCGTTGGCATACAACACTTTCCGCAACGTGGAAAGAAAATGGAATCGTTCAATTAACAAACCTGGTCAAGGTCGTTGCCATCAACTCGTGCATCATCACCATTGCCTACATCATCTTCGGCTACACCTCCGGGAACCACAAGAGCCGTATCATCATCCCACTCTTCCTCGACAAAGGGTGCATATCTATCGCCATTAGGAGGTCCCAAAGCACTTTTTTGAAAAATTCTACATAGCACAAAAGCATCCTTTCCTCGCAAAACAAATATAATTTAAGATTCCAAATTCTCAAAATAGTATCAAATATGCAATAAATAGATTTTTTTTTTTACCTGAGTTACCCCAGCTTCCACTAATTCATTATCGGTGAGTCTATACTCGTGCATAACCCAATTCGTCCTCTTTCCATCTGGAGCTCGTCCACAATGGAAAACGAGCGTTTTCTTCATTCCTACTGTCTGAGACTTATGACGGACAGGACGATCCTTCCCAGTGGCCTTCCAATAGCCTTTACCAGTGGCTCTGTTGAGCCGAGACCCATTCCCGTACTTACGATCTACAGGGCTAAAAAAGTACCATTCTAGATCTCTAGTCTTCAGATGTGAATATCCTGCATATTACGAAAGACAAGACAAACCAACCATTTTAAAGCAGCCAAAAATTCAACAAAAATTATCACATAATGCAGCAAGCACACCACTGCATCGCAGACCACTACGTACACAATTGACGTCTGAAAGGAATTCACAATTATAACGGCCAATTCCATTCACATTCGCTACGTTCATTCCTCGGAAATTACTTTTACATTCCATACCTCTTTTACACCACTATACCAATATAAAGCAAGGAATCAACATTCACGTTGTTAGGAACAAATTAACTCTGAGTAAGTAATAGCAATCCTTCTCAACCCAATTCCACCTTCATACGTTTCGATTCCAGCAATCACAAACGAATCGTATAACACGCATAACAATCAAGAAACCGACACAGGAAATATGCAAAAGTGAGTTCAAAACAATAACTGAGAATTTCAAAGCTCTGCAAATTTATAATCTTCCTCAGAGACACACATGCCTGCAAACTGGAATGTGCACAAGACTATCTTATTATGATTACAGAGAATAATTGTTATCATTATTTTTCTCAAACCCCCCAAAAGGGAAATCAAACTGTGCCAAGATACTAAAAGCTTCATACTTTACAGCATTTCAACCATAAAGATATCAATTTTTTTTAAAAAATTTCATTTCAACGCTTTACAGCTCCATTCCTACTTTTTAACATCACCTATTACTGATAGAAATGATCTTAATTCCAGTCATTAAAAAGCAGCAATAATTAAATTTTATACACACTAAAAAAATTTATCTAAATTTGATTTAAAAAATAACCCAAAAAAAAATAGAGGTAAATAATCAGCATGAGTAACACTGGGAACACCACATAGATCCGGCAAACAGAAACCAAACAATAAAAATAAAACTAAAAGTTCAAATAAAATTGAAAATTAAAAATCAGAAAATGGAGATTTAAAAAATAAAAACAAAAACCTGCGAGTTCCCACGGTTCAGATTTGTAGACGTCGATTTCAGAAACAGCTTGAAAGCGGAAAGATTTGCCGCATGCCCGGCGTCGGAGGTAGTACCTTACGAGCTCCTCGTCCGTTGGGTGAAACCGGAACCCGGGCGCGAGCGACGTCGGCGGCGCCAACGTCCGTTTCGGAGGCGCCGGCGCCGGCGGCGCCACCACCAAAGCTCCTCCCTCCTGCGCCGGTTGTTGCTCCATCATTCCCAAATCAAACAACAACCCAACCCAACCCAAGAAACTCTAACGCATAGAGATTGATATATAAACACAAGTTAGGTTTGAGATGATTAGAAGTGAAGCAAAGCTGGAGAGAGAGAGTGTTGATAATGGTGCGAAATGTATGTATATAGACACTATAGAGCAGTCCAAAAATCAAATTAAGAAATAAATTAAAAATTAAAAAAATATAGAGAGAGAAAGAAAGGGAAGAAGGCTAAGCTATTGCCCGTCGGTTAAGCAAACGGAGATAGGAATGGATCCTTGCTTGACACGGAAATCGATAAACTAAAAATACATTTCTAAAAATTCCTTTTTTTTTAATAAATATATTCTATTTACAAATATAATAAAGGGAGATATTGGTAATTTTATCAATTTGCATTACCTAGCAGGCAACAACCAAAATACACAATGCACAAGAAACAGCTTTGCTCTTTTGTTTTCTTTTCTTTTCTTGTTGTGTAGTTTATTGGTTACAACTTTAACTTGGTGCATAATGCATGACCACTTTTTGTTATATTTCAAAAATATTACAAAAATTAATCGATAAATTTATGACGATTGATAAGATGATTTGTTAACGCACCTTCAAAGTTACAATGCGTCATATTAAAAAGTTTTGGTGCAACCCAATTTTAGAATAGTAAAGTTCTAGTGTTTTATAAAATTTACAAAAATGTATGATATATTTAATATTTTTAATTAATTATTTGCTAACTGATTAATTTTATGATAAGTTATGACTTTTTATTAATATTTATCGATAAATAAAAATGTTATCTTACGTTATTATCATATAAAATATATACTTTTTTAAAGGATTAGCTATAATGTTATTTATATCTATGGTATCAACTTTTATTTTGTTTTACATTTGGCATTTGAATTTTAAAAATATACTAAACTTGGCATTTAACGTAATATTTTACGAGGACTAAATTATCTATGAATAATTATTTTACCAAAAATTATCCGATCAAATTTAGTAAACTTTCAAAACTCAAACACTAAATAGTACAATAATAATAAGTGGATACCATAAATAAATATTACTATAGTAAACAAATATCTAATTCTAAATTTGTTCAAAATATTAGATAAGATTTCCTTTAACAATACTAAAATCTCACAATTAATTGGTGGAATTGTCCCCCCCCCCCCCCCCATCTAAATATTGAATTTTTTTCAAAATATATTATAATGTTTTCTAAAGTTGAGTTTTGGTTGAACATACTTTGGGAGTCCTCCCAACACTTACTACTCCATTCACAAACTTAAATGTTGCATTTCATATTGCAAATTTGACATGTATATTTTTACATCATTTAAAAAAAATAATCTAAGTATATTGCAAGGATTGCAAAATCCTGACACAAATCGTCTTCCGAGACTCAATTTATTTTTAAATATAAAGTCAAATATAATTTTGAATATTATATTATATTTCAATAGTGTTTTGAATACTAGTGATGTTGAGAAAAATAGTGGGGGATTGCATAAGTATGAATCACAAACTTAAGGGTTTATCACCGCTCTTATGTTGGAGATGGGTGAGTGAGGTAAAGCGCGTGGGATATGCCTCAATTGGCTTATAGACTCGCAAATGCTTGTAAATTAGTGTCAACAACAAAGTCCAATCCATACATATGAACTTATTTTAAATTAGTTAACCAGTTGAGTTATGTCCCGAGGTCGTGAATTGCAAATATGATAATATGACATATGGTCAACTTCTTAATGTGAGTGAATATTTCAGTCATGCTGGATAGTTTTCTACTCAAATTTTATTTTTATTTAATTTGTATGAGTTAATACACGATTTGGTCCATCGACTATTAGGACGTCACCGCTTGGTCATCGATTTCCAAACTTGCTCAATTTTATCTCAAATTATGCAATTGTTAACAAAAATGGTCCTAATCAGGATTATTTTAGCTTGGACAAAGGACTATTTTACGTAAAAGTTGTATAGTTGGAAATTAAATTAAACAAGTTTAAAAGTCGATTATCAAAGTGGTGAAATCCTAATAATCGATGGATCAAATATGCTATTAGCTCCATTTATATTTAATTATTTATCAAAAAAAATGGTAAATGTAAAACATTAACAAAAAAAAAAAAAAAAAAAAGTTTACTCTGTTGATTTTGGTTCTTGTTTAATTATGGGAAAGCCACTCCAAGGCTACAAGCTAACCTACATCAACCATATAAAAGCACAATTCCTGGATGATAGCGAAGGGGCTTTTTTGGTAATCTGCCAGATCTTGGTTATTTTTGGAAGGATTGTAACAATTGGGGTCCATTTGGCAATAAAATAAATCCGTGGAGCATCCTGATATGGGGAAGTTTATCGTTGCACGGCTTTGCGTACCAGCCCACCAACTTTTGTAAAATTCGTATTTTTTTTTTTTTTAAACATTCGCTCGTAAACTTCTTCATTTTGGATATTAGTATATTACTTAATAATTTAATCACTTTTTTTATATGATATTATTGTGTTAATATTTTGCATCCAAGCCGAAAAACTAACCACTTGGTTGTGATTGTCCTAACTAGTAATTTATTCGTAGAATGCACGGTATAAAGATTATATGTTAATGTATTATGTTATATTAAAAAAATATGTGGTTGAATATATAAAAATCAGTTATACACATTAAATTTTATAATTATTTTTTATTAAATATTATTGTGAAAATAGTTCAAATATTTATTTACTTTAATGTTATCATGGTATATATTTTGATAAATAATAAATAAGACTTTATTTAATTTTTATTTAAAACAAACAGAATTTATAAATTATTAAAAACTTCATGGTAAATCACGTTAGTGGTCGAAGTACAATTCATTTCGAGACATTACATATAAAAAATTTGAGCCCCATAGGATTACTAACTCTAAATGATGTTAAATACAATGACAATTTGGTATATTCATTTCTAAGTGTTAAGTCTTTTTTTCTTTGTTGGTTCTGCATTTATATGTGTCATTTCATTTTTAGCCATTTTTAAAAAGAGTTAATACCCAAAATCATCTTCGACTATAGTGGTTTTTCTCAATTTTGTCCTAAACGACTTTGGTGACTTAATGTAGTCCCAGAGTTTTATGTTTTTACTCAATTTCGTCCCAGCCTTTTGTGTTTTTGCTCAATTTAGTCACTCCATTTGTACGTTATTCCGTCCATTTGTTGTTAAATAAATAGACAATTCAGTAATTTTAATATTGACATCTCTTTATTCATAGACATGTGAAGTGTGAAATCCCTCTTTTTTTACGAATTACTCCCAGAATCACTTCTAAAGCTGCAAATATAAAATTTGATTCGTAGGTCTGAGAGTAACTCTGGGTGTAATTCGTGTAAGAAAGAGAGATTTATCACTTCGCAGGTTGAAAGTAAAGAGAGGTCAATATTGATATTATTGAATTGTCCCTTTATTTAACACCAATTTGACGGAATAACAAACGGAGGACTAAATTGAGCGAAACACAAAAGTCTGGGACTATATTAGGTCACCAAAGTCGTTTAGGACGAAATTAAGAAAAACCACTATAGTCAAGGACAATTTTGGGTATTAACTCTTTTTAAAAAACATTCACGTTAGTCGTAGCATTATTGTGGTATGACTGTTTTTTTTTTTCTTCAACAAATATATTTTAATAACATTAAAATGACGTTATTAACCACTCAAAATTCTTTTTTTTTTTCTTCTTGGTAATAAAATTGTTATCAATACATAAGTCTATTACAAAATCTAAAAAGTGCAATTTAAAAATTCACAAGCTAAGTCTACCTCATGGCAAACCTTAAGTTTCGTTCATAAGTCTATTTCATACAAATTCACAATACTTGTGGTTCTATTATCAAGAAGAAAATAGAAAATTTTTATTGATTAATAACGTCATTTTTAATGCCATTTAAACATATTTGTTGACAAAGAAAACAAATATTCATGTCAAGATAATGTTCATACTAACATAAATGTTAAAAAAAAATGACTAAAAATTGAATGATACATATAATAACATCATGCAGGGAATGCCAAACAGATAATCATCTTAAAAATATTTTTTAAACAACCATATTTTTGACACGTGTTATATAAGAAAAAGTAAAAGACAAAAGGATATGGAAAGGCAAGGACGTAGCGTTGACCAACCAATCCAACAAGGATTACAGCACAAGAATTTGATAATTTATGGGGCCCACTTTGTTTTTTCACTTGCTATGATGTGAGTACGTGGATGGACGGTGAAACATGTTTAGACTACACCCAACTGAAAACAAAAGATGCTCCGTAACGATGAAGCAACGGTCGTTTATGTGAAAACTGAAAAAGGGATTCAGACGTTTTAGTCGAAGAAACTACAAGGCTAAATTTGGAAATGAGTTTCACTAATTTGGTATGAAATTTAAGAGACTTTTTTTTTTCTTAATTAATAACAGTAAAACTTAAAAAAAAAAAGAAAAAAAGAAAGATCTTGCAAATAATTCAATAGCGAAAAATAGCAACGGATATAATTGAGAGACAAAAAATATTATTTTACTATAATTCAGAGACGGAATGTCATCTCTCCATATATTTGTCTCACATCATTTCCAAACTCAATTATATTATTACAATTAAAATAAATACACAAATAATAATAATAATAATAATTATTATTACAACAATATCATCATTATATTATATTTAATGATATCAGTCATTCACTTGTTCAAGGCATTTCAAGGTTACGCAAATCACAACAAAAATGAAGAGCCAAATAAAAGGATCTTATTTTCTTAGAATTAATTAATCTTATTCCAAAAGATTGAACCCCAACCCTAAGGGCCCCTACACTCCGACCCGACAGAGTATTTGGAAAGATAGAATTAATTAATCTTGATGATATAAGTGGGGTATGGTTGAGTGGAAATGTCTCATCTATCATTACCCAATGGTCAATGGTTCGACGAGGGGATCAGTCACAGTGTCTGACAGTGAAAACCATGTGAATGTTGATCATCTTTGTAGAGACAAAAATTAGTTTTTTTTTTTTTTTTAAAAAAAAAAGTTTATTAGGCAAACATACTCATATGTAATAGCTCACAAACCACATAGAAAAGGTAATTTACATTAAGAATACCTTGTGCGACGAACTGGACCGAGATGGAGAAATTAGTAATTTTGAAGGTATTATAGATGAATG